AATGACTTCTGACCTTTTGCCCTTTGTCCCGCAGGGCAGGCATAGCCCAGACACCTTCCCCCTCATCTGGAGAATTGGGCAGAGGAGCCCAGCTCACCCTCCAGCAAGGGACCTCTGACCGTGAGCCTCAGTTTCCCCACGTGAATAGCGGATGGCTTGCTCAGTCCCTCGGGGTGAATCCTGGGAAGAAGGTGGATACCCTGATATTGTCCCGAAGCAGCCGGCCACAGCTTCACCCTTGCCACTACAGGCAGAGGTCAGCCGGGGTGCCCCGCGGGCTGGCGCGTGGGTAGAAACCAAGCGGGTTCCTTGTCCCCTGCTGGGCCTCCCTGGGGTCACTAGGCCGGATGGTGCCCGTGGGGGCTGACAGGGAGGCGCCCAGTGTGTGTACATGTTGTCCTGGAATGTGGCAGAGCAGGCCCCAGGGGACCTGAGTCAGGGCCTGAGGTGCCTGGCCAGGAGCTAGGCTGTTGTCTTCCTCGGCAGGTGACACCTTCCTGAGGTGCATCAGGAGGGGCTTGGGGACCACGGTGGGGTCTCCTCAGCCCGCCATCAAGATGAGCTGGGTCCAAGCTCAAACTGAAGGACTCTGTGTTGGGGTTGGGGTTCATGCTGGGGCCAGTGCTGGGTCAGCGGTCATGGATAGGTCCAAGGTCAGGGCTGCAGAGATGGCTCAGCAGTTAAGAGCACTCAATAGCTTCTGCGGAGGACCCGGGTTCAATTCCCAGGACCCATATGGAGGCTCACAACCATCTATAACTCCAGTTCTGAGGATCTGACACCCTCTTCTGACCTCTGAGGACTCCTACACACACGTGGTACACAGACATACACTAGAGCACACACATACCCATAAAAATAAATAATATTAAAAAATGAATAAAAGCCGGGGCCGCCGTTCAGTGGGTAGAGCTAGGATGCACGCAGTACACAGGAAGCTCTGGTTCCCTTCCCCACACCGCATAAGGCAATGTAGCGAGCGGCACAGGCCTGTCCTTGCGCTCAGGAGGTGGAGACCGTAGGATCAGGAGTTCAAAGTCATCCTTGGTTACTTAGTGAATTCAAGGCCAGCCTGGGCTACATGAGACTGTCTAAAACACAAGGAAAATAAAAAGAAAACCTGGGGTTCAGCTTGGCGCAAGGCTTGTCCAGTGCTGGGGACCCACTGTAACAATGTCTGCTCCGTGCGTTCATCCACTTCCACCCAGCCCTCCTGGCTGACCCCTGGCTCCACCTCAGGGCCACAAACCCCTGCTCCCCTTTCCTCCTTCTCCAGGACCCTAAGCCAACCTCACCCAGCCCCGAAGGCAGCTGCTCCCGAGCACCCCCCACGGTGAGCTTTCAACCATCCTTTCTCAGACCCCTGACCTTGGCTCACAGGAGACCCTGGACAATTCCAAAGTGGAAAGTCCAGCGTCCAACCTCCTACACTAATCCTCTGAACCAACTGCTGGAGTTTTCCATCAGATACCGGGATGGGACCTTCCTACATCGCTGTGTCTGGTGCTCACACCCACTTCTGGGGATGAAACCCAGGCCCCCAGCTCACATAAACCCCCAGCCCCTCACTGGGGGGTTCTAGGCGGGGCTCCACCCTGACCACGCCCCTCACTGGGGGGTTCTGGGCAGGGCTCCACCCTGACCACGCCCCCAGCCCCTCACTGGGGGATTCTGGGCGGGGCTCCACCCTTGAGGACATCCTCAGCCTTTTTAACTTTTCAGCAAGCATCACCCACAAGTTTTCCAGGCTGCCCTTGAACTTGCACTCCTCCTCCCTCAGTTTCCCTAGTTGCAGAGGCCCAGCTTTCCATCCTCCTAGTCTGTCTGTCCCCTTCGCTGATGGGAACTTGTCCTTGGTGCCAGTGGGGCGCTCCATAATCCTGCAAAATGACCTCAGGTTCCAGGCCGGGCACACAGTCCGCAGGGCTGGATGGGAAGGGTTCCGCGGCAGGTGGACGGGCTCCCCCAGCATCCAGAGCAGAACAAAGGGCATACTCAGGGGTGCGGAGGCGGGCAGGCCGTGGGCCGCCCTCGGGGGCCCTGGCTCCAGCCCCTGGCAGCTTGTCCTCATGCCAGGGCACACCCAACCCTCAGGGCTGGGCAGAGGTGACAGCCGGAGAGGGCTCCCCACCACGGACTGTTCCACCCGGTGACTCAGCCCCGGCATGGGCCTCCTGGGGGAAGACAATGGTGGCTTGTGGGTCCCTGGAGAGCTTCCCTACAGGTGTGTGGCCCCGGGGTGGACCGGGGAGTCTCAGAACCTCAGTCTCTTTCCATGTACAATGGGCTCACTCTCTGGGAAGGACAGGGCAGCTTGTGGTTGGAAAGAGCACATTGGGGCCGTTGAGGGAGGGCGTCTCTGACGACTTCTTGCTTTGGATGACAGATTAGAGGGTGTCCCAGCCCCCAGGGCTGCAGTGATGCCCAGCGCAAAGCATGCTGCGTCCTGCAGTGAGCGGCCAAACCTCACGTCCACGGGATCAGGGTCTGGCCACAGGAAGGGCTTAGGGCTGTTAAGGACGGAGATTCAATGCAGAGACCGAAGTCCCTCAGCAGGGACATGGAAGGACCAGGCAGGAACTTGCGGAGCCTATGATTGTACTCACCCATTTTCCTGTTGGGTGAACTGAGTCCTGGCAAGTACCAAGAACCTGCCCCAGGATTCTGAGACCTGGGGGAAGGATGAAGGGTTGGAACTGGGGCTTGGGGCTAGGGCTGAGTTGGTAGAGAGCTCCATCCATTAGGATATAGGAAACCCGGGTTTCATCCCAGCACCGCCTAACCAGGTGTGGCGAAGACTGTAGCACTAGGTGGGGGTGTGGTGGTCGGGGATGCCGACAGGAGTTCAGGGTCATCCTTGGCTACATAGGAAGTTGGAGGCCAGCCTGGGTGACATGAACTCCTTTCTCAACTCTCTACCTCTGCCGGCTCTGAAAGGGCGGCAGCACCCGGTCCCCAGACCTGTGTGATGCCGGGGGACGTCCTTGGCATCCGTCACCGGGTCCCCAGACCTGTGTGGTGCCGGGGGACGTCCTTGGCATCCGTCACCGGGTCCCCAGACCTGTGTGGTGCCGTCCTTGGCATCCGTCACCGGGTCCCCAGACCTGTGTGGTGCCGTCCTTGGCATCCGTCACCGGGTCCCCAGCCCTGTGTGATGCCGGGGGACGTCCTTGGCATCCGTCACCGGGTCCCCAGCCCTGTGTGATGCCGGGGGACGTCCTTGGCATCCGTCACCGGGTCCCCAGCCCTGTGTGATGCCGGGGGACGTCCTTGGCATCCGTCACCGGGTCCCCAGCCCTGTGTGATGCCGGGGGACGTCCTTGGCATCCGTCACCGGGTCCCCAGACCTGTGTGGTGCCGTCCTTGGCATCCATCACCGGGTCCCCAGCCCTGTGTGATGCCGGGGGACGTCCTTGGCATCCGTCACCGGGTCCCCAGACCTGTGTGGTGCCGTCCTTGGCATCCATCACCGGGTCCCCAGACCTGTGTGATGCCGGGGGACGTCCTTGGCATCCGTCACCCGGGTCCCCAGACCTGTGTGATGCCGGGGGACGTCCTTGGCATCCGTCACCGGGTCCCCAGACCTGTGTGGTGCCGTCCTTGGCATCCGTCACCCGGTCCCCAGCCCTGTGTGGTGCCGGGGGACGTCCTTGGCATCCGTCACCGGGTCCCCAGACCTGTGTGGTGCCGTCCTTGGCATCCGTCACCCGGGTCCCCAGACCTGTGTGATGCCGGGGGACGTCCTTGGCATGCGATCCCCCTCGCTGCCCGCCCTGGACGCCCCACTTCTATCTTCCTTGAGCCCCGGGGAGCTGTGAAGACCCAGCTGTGCTGACTCCCTCCGGGCACAGCCGGGGCAGAGGCTAGGAGGGAGGAACCCCCAGGGGAGCTGGAAAGTGTCCCCACTCATCGCTTCTTGTATAGCCCCAGCGGGCCTGCAACTGGCCAGGAGACCCGCCTGCCTCGGCCCGCCTCTGGCATTAGAGGCCTGCGCCACTACACCTGGCCTCGTTGTTTTACATTTTATTTTCATTTTTAATTTTTTTGTTTGTTTTTCGAGACAGGGTTTCTCTGTGCAGCCCTGGCTGTCCTGGATCTCGCTCCGTAGCCCAGGCTGGCCTCGAACTCACAGAGATCCGCCCGCCTCTGCCTCCCGAGTGCTGGGATTAAAGGTGTGCGCCACCACCGCCCGGCATTTTTTGATCCCGGGACATCTATTTTCAAGAGAAGGACAAGTGGATCCACGTGGGGTCCCTCAGCACCAAAGAGAACGGCCCGCAGTTCTCTAGCCTCCCATTAAGGAGCTGAAATGCCCTCCCGACTTCGATACACCCGCTCGCAACGCGTAAGACCCAGGGCCGACCCTAGAAACGCAAAATAGAACCCACTCGACGTGGCGGCGCCGGCGGGCATAACAACCAGAAAATAAAACCCCAACCTCCGCCCTTCCACCCCTTTCCCGTCGAGAGCGCTTCTCGCGGCCTCTCGCTCTGAGAATCCCGCCTCTGCTGTGGGGGTGGGGAATGCAGACGGTGCTTCATAATGAATGGTTGAAGCCGCTGTCCATCAAAGCTTCTCGTCTTTCCATTGGCTATCTCTGGTGGGCCTTATCTTTCAATCTCCTGGTCCTTCCCGCTTGCGTCACGGACGCTTTGCTCAGTGCACGTATTCCGCCGCGTAGGAAGATAGTCCCTGAGGCTTTACCGCGGTTTGATTGATAGATAATATCTCCGCCGGAAGCACTTTAGTATTAGATACTGGTTGATTCTGGGTGTCATGGTAATATTTGTGGGCGTTTTGGCAGGGGACTGTTGTGAGGTGGCGTGTGTTAGGGTCGCCTCAAGAGGTGGTGGAGGGATCCGTGGAGTGCATCCGGTCGGGGCGCGGCTGCGGCGACTTAGGGGAGGTGGCTTTCTGCTGGTGGGGGCGTGGCTTCCCGGGGGCGTGGCTTCCGCGGGCGGCGCGGGGCGGGGTGGGGGGGCGGAACATGTCTCCCGCCGCAGGAAGATGAGGCAGCGCCGGCGGCTGCGGGCGTAGCGGGCCACCGCGGGCCACCGCCGCGCGCCGCCGCCTCTGCTACAGTCCCTTCCCGCGGGGCCTGCTCTGCGAGAAGCTCGAGAGGGGCCAGGCGACGCGAACGCGAGTGGGGAGGAGGAGGAAGGACGCGCGCCCCCGAGCCCTGCGCGTTCCCGCCGCCCACGCGCGACCCTCGGGGACGCGCCCGCCACCCTTTTGTCCCCGGGGTCCCCGAGGGCGGTGGGCAGCAGGGAGCCCCGGTGCACCCGGTGCATGCCCCCGCCCAGCAGGTGAGCGCACGCGGAGGGGCCCCCGGGCGCGCGCGTGGAGCGTACGGGGACGCGCGCACGGTGGGGACCCCCCCCCTTCTCTGCTTAGTGCATGGAAAAAAAAAAAAAGTTGCCTCCGGGTCTCTCTCGGGTCCGCGGCGTGGCCGGGGATGGGGTGAGCCCCCAGGGGAGGGTTGCACGCGTCCCCCTTGCACAGGGCCCCGGGCCCGGCGGCGCATTGTTCTCTGCCTTCAACTTTGCGCGCCTGGAGAGGGGGGCGACGTGGAGGGGACGCGCGCACTTGGGAGCAAACTTTGCCCAGGCCTCTTTTGTGATGGTTCTCTTTGGACGGTCACCCAACTTCATCAGATAGGGGTACTCTAACTCCTGGAGACCTTGGGGGAGGTGTTCCCTTACCGCCTACCCTCAATCCCCAGCCTCAGGGAGGGGGCTCCCCATGATCGGAACTGGAGTTTGGAGGGAAGAGAGAGGACCATCTACTCATTTCATCAGCTAAGGGGGCCCCAACTCGTGGGTGTCTTAGGGGAGGTGTCCCCTTACCGCCGACCTCCACCCCTTCACTCGAGGAGGTATCTCCTTGATCGTGGCTGGAGTTTGGAGGGGTGAGGGTCATCCCCGCACTCCACGACCTGGGGTTCCCTAACTCTTGGGGGTTTTGAGGGAGGTGTCCCTTTCCCACCCACCGTCAGCCAGGGAGGCCCCCCCAGCCCTCCCTCCGAGTTGGAGTTTGGAAGGAAGAGTGAGGACAATCTCTTCACTTCATTAGCTAGGGGATCCCCAACTCCTGGGGGTCGGGGGAGACACATCCCACACACACACTCAGGAATGGGCCCCCTAATTCAAGCTAGAGTTCGGAGGAAAAAAAGAACAGGTTCTTTTGTCTGTTACAAGAAAGGGACCCCTGGGTACAGGGAAGGTGCGGAGACGTGGGGACCCCAAGATGGGAACATCTGCTCTGTGTTAATGTGGGGCGCGGCACAGCCCTGGGTTTGGGACACGGTGGTGGCCTGCCTTCGAGCCTCAGAGAGCTTCCACCCTCTCTCTCTCCCTCCCGCACTCGCTGCCGGAGTGGGGGAGGGAGAGAAGGGAGGGTTGTCCCCAATTCTGCTTCCCTCCCAACAATCCAAGAAGTCTCAGGTTGTCCCCCTCCTCCCCCTCCCCAAAGCGTTTGTGGCACCGCTGACCTGCAGTGTTTCGCCTGTCCCCCTGGGGGGGTACCTAGAAAAGTCGGTTTCAAGTACCCCACAAAAAAAGTGTGGTTTTGTACAACTTAGAAGAAAAAAAAAAGTCAGTTTCACACGTCCTCCGAAAAGGATAAAAAGAAAAAAGAAAAGAAACCGCGGGGGAGGGGTGCTCTAGGCGTCTGTTTCCCACCCCGCGTCTGAGTTGGGGAACAAAAGAGTTGGGGTCCTTGAGCTTCTGGACATGGGTCCTCCCTCAACCCCAGAACCTCCTTCCCCACCCTGTGGTTTCTCAGGCCTGGCTACCCTTCTCTTCTTTCTGGGGAACCCTGGAAAAAAGTTAATTTTTTAGTGTCTGGGGGCCGGCTTTCCTCTCTTCCCCGGGGTGGGGGGATGCGGCCTGGCAGGTGGATCCCCTCCCCCGCTGGTGGAGCAGAGCCCCTGGGACCTGAAGGGGAATCCCAGGTCTTGGGGACCCCCCCCCCCCCAGGGTGATGTTGGTAAAAGGATGTTTTCAAACTTCGCTCCGAATAATTCCCGGATATATCCTGACAATAAGACAGCCTGCTTGGTTTTGTTTTTTTTAACTTTTCTGCATGAGGTTAGGTTTTGGGGGTGAGAGGGAGAATTTGTGGGTTCAGGCAAAGTTCCACCCATGAAGTCTTGAAGTTACGAGTTTGTATTGCTTTGAATTTGGGGGTGACCAGGGTTTTGAGTGTTCTGTGACAGATGCTGAGTGGGAAGGTTCCACTAAATTCATTTGGAGGAGGCAGAGCCTGGGCCATGGCTCTCCTGGACAGGACCCATGGACAGGCTACCACAGGGGGTTGATAGCGAGTATCCCTAGCCCCCCCAACCCCCAACACCAGTTTAAAATGTGCAACTTGATGCTCTGGTGGTCCTTTGGGAATGGAGAGAGTTCACATGTGTACCCCCTCTCTATTGTTGAAGCTGTTTGCTCTGGAAGGGTCTACCGGGGATGCCCCAAACCCCAGGTTCCCTGCCTGTTCCCTGCCTCTTCCCTCCAGGGCCCCATAGACCCCAGACCCTTGCCTGTGATCCCTGCTTGTCCGTGTTCTCAGACCTCTCTGTGTCTCCCCTGTCCCACCACACAGGGCTGTCTCTAGGCCTGGGGAACCCACCCCAGTTCCTACGCCTGCTGCCCTGGCCGGACGATGAACCAGTCTCAGAGGATGGCACCCGTGGGCTCCGACAAAGAGCTGAGTGATCTCCTGGACTTCAGCATGGTGAGCCACCACCCCGGCACCTGCCCCCCCAGCGCCTGCCCCCTGCTCCCAGGCTGGCGGGTCCTGCCCAAGTGGAGCCCCCAGCTCCCCGGCAGAAGTGGGACAAGTCTCAGGAGGGGATGGAGGAATGGAATCCCCCATGGGTATGGTGAAACCCGCCAAAGAAATGGGCCCACCTACTGCTTCCCAGAGAGAGGGAAGGGCTCTTCAGGGCTCCAGCCCCTCCCCCTGGCGCTCACCGCACAAGCCCCATGTGGCTGTGGGGGGCTGGTGGCCTTGGCTGTCTAGTCAGGAAAGTCACCATCAAAGTTACAGGTGGTGAGAATGAGGTCCCAGGCTGTGCTGACCCATGCCGGGGACCTCAGAGAGGAAAGCCACCACCTCTGGAGCGCCCGTGACTTACCCTCCTCTGTCTGTCACTCCTCCGACTGCTCCCCGTCCACCCCCCACCCCCCCAAGGCTTCCAGCAACCCTGCTCCATTAGCATATCGTCCGCCCTGGGTGGGGAGAGGTGGTCAGTTTGCTGCTTGTTCTTCAGCTCTGTAAATGCCCGAGAGGTTGCTGCGGGACTGGTGAGGGTCTCCTGGTGGGCATCTCCACAGCCTAGGACCCTCAGCTCACCCATCTCTGTGCAGTGGGCACCCTTGTGGCTATTGGGGGTACACTGGACCTATGCTTCAAGAACCAGCATGGTTTTCTAAGCTCTGTGGATTCTTGAACTCTCAGCCCCACCCCCAGAAGTCCTCCTGAGCCTTGAAAGCTCCTGGGGCGACTTCCGGCCTGAATTCCCCTGCTCCGACCCACAAGGCACCCAGGCCACAGAATTCTGCCAAAAACAAGGGTGCCCACACCGAAACAGCACCAGCTCGCCAGCCTGCGGAAATGCAGCCCTGGGGATGGAGCCCCCAAGGCTCCGGAAGGCCCTGTCGGTATTTTTAAGGTCCATCTTATTTTTGCCTCCCTGGCTGAGTAGGCAGAGGCCCCAGCCCGCTTGTTTTTTTGATTTTTTTTTTTTTTTTTTTTGTTATTGTTAAACTGACAGGTCACGGCCTAGTGGCCCGGAACACACAGCTTGGGGGTGCAGCTCAGCCCTGTTGGACCCATGGGAACACCCCAAGCCTCTGGGCCGCCTCCTCTTCAGTCCAAAGGCCCAGGGTTTCCCCTGATTTAGGCCAGAGAGCATCCTGGGGTACAGAGGGGAGACTGAGGTGGAAGCAGGTAGGGACTCACCTCCCCCAGCAGGACCTTGTGTGGTCAAGTTGGGAGGTGAGTCCTGTAGAGGGTTTTGTTTCTGAGCTAGGGTCTCATGTAGCCCAGGCTGGTCTTGAATTCTTTTTTTTTTTTAATTTTATTTATTTATTATGCATACAGTGTTATGCCTGTGTCCCTGCAGGCCGGAAGAGGGCACCAGATTTCATTACAGATGGTTGTGAGCCACCATGTGGCTGCTGGAAATTGAACTCAGGACCTCTGGAAGAACAGTCAGTGCTCTTAACCTCTGAGCCATCTCTCTAGCCCATGGTCTTGAATTCTTAATCCTCCTGCATCCGAGTGTTGGGAAGACAGGGCCTCCTGTGCCACCTTGTCCAGCGTCCATTCTTCACTTTTTTTTTTTTTTGGGTGGGGTGTGTGTGCGCGTGCGTGTGTGCTCACATGTGCACATGCATGTACCATGTTTATGCCTGGTGCCCTAGGAGGTCAGAAGAGGGCATCAGATCCCTTGGAACTAGAGTTCCGGATAATTATGAGCCGCCATGTGGGTGCTGGGAACCGAACCCGGGTTCTCTAGAAGAGCAGCCAGTGTGCTAACCACTGAGCCATCTCTCCGGCCCTATGCCTCTTTTCGATTTTTTGAGACGGGGTCTCACTCTGCAGCTTGTGCTGGCCCCAGATGGAGCCACGTGCCTGCTACTGCTCTTTCCTCTGTACGAGGGGGCAGGGACGGTGGCCCTGCACGCGTCCTGCTGTGGGTCTACGCTGCCACTGCCTGGTTGTCTGCGGGAGGGTTCAGAGGACAGTGTGGGTGGCGTGGTGCCTTCCACCGCTCCTGTCACTTGGGCCTCACAGGTGAAAGCTGGCACTCTGGTTGGGAGTTGGCTGTGTCTCTGAGCCCTTTAATGTGCAGAGACTTAGCACTGTGGACACAGAAGAGCTGGGAGGGGGTGTGGGTGTGGCAGGGGTCACCCTGTGCGTAACAGGTTCCCTCTAGGGCCCTCACACACATGCCCAGCTCTGCCACCTAGCACCTCAGTCCCTTCTCCTGTTTGGTTTGAGACAAGGTCTCGCATGGTTTCTAACTCCCTATGTAGCCAGGGAGCACCTTAGATGACATTATCCTGCCTCCGCTTCCCAAGTGCCGGATGACAGCCTCAGTTTCCCCTTAGTTGGGGCTGGGCCACACTTGGCACTGTGTGTCTTCTGGTCCTCCCGTGGTGCCCGTAAGTGAGTCACCCAGACAAGGGGGGCCCTCCGTGGGGTGGGAATGTTTGGACACACGGGGATGGCCCTCCGTGGGGTGGGAATGTTCAGACACACGGGGATGGCCCTCCGTAGGGTGGGAATGTTCGGACACACGGGGATGGCCCTCCGTAGGGTGGGAATGTTCGGACACACGGGGATGGCCCGGCCACCGTTAAACAGAAGCATGTGGCGGTCAGGCTGGGATGGAGGAAACGTCACCTCCAGAGCAGATGGTTTCGGGCACTGTGGCATAGCCCTGTCATCCAGCACTCCTGAAGCTGAGGCAGGAGGATCATAAATTCAGGGCCAGCCTGGGCAACAGAGAGCCTGTCTCAGAAACAGAGTCAGGGCAGAGGAGACGGCTCAGTTGGTATAGTGGTCACACCCAGCACCCATGTGAAAAGTGGGGCGGGGGAGGGCACGCACCTGTAACCCTGGCACTAGGGAGCTCTGGCCAGCCAGTATGCCTACTTGGCAAGACAGAGAGACAGTGTCTCAAGAGACAAGATGTCCCTACACCTTTAACCCCAGCACTGAGCAGGCAGAGGCAGGTGGATCCCTGTGAGTTCGAGGCCAGCCTGGGCTACACAGAGAGACCCTGTCTCAGAAACAAAACCAAGTGCAGCTCCTGAGAAGTGACCCCCGAGGTTGTTGACACACAAGACAAATTGTGAAGTCATACCCTCTAGCGAGTGGGTCACTGTCTGTGTGTGTGTGTGTGTGTGTGTGTGTGTGTGTGTGTGTCCCGTTAACCCAGAGTTCTTTCAGCTGCTGCCGACTTGAGTGTGCGGTCTCCTCCCAAGCATGTCCTTCGCGGGGTCGCCCTGACCATAGAGCTCTGTGGTGCACCCAGCCTCAGCAGAGCAAGCCCGCGTCTTCGGGCTTTCTTTTTTTTTTTTTTTTTTTTTTTTTTTTTGGTTTTTCGAGACAGGGTTTCTCTGTGTAGCTTTGCGCCTTTCCTGGAACTTGCTTTGGAGACCAGGCTGGCCTCGAACTCACAGAGATCCGCCTGGCTCTGCCTCCCGAGTGCTGGGATTAAAGGCGTGCGCCACCACCGCCCAGCATCGGGCTTTCTTTAGTGGACGCCCCTTCTACCCCAGCTCTGCTGCGACACTCACTGCTCTCCTCTGTCCCCACAGATGTTTCCACTCCCTGTGGCCAACGGGAAGGGCCGGCCTGCCTCCCTGGCTGGGACCCAGTTTGCAGGCTCAGGTAGGGTTGAGGGACACGGGGGGGGGGGGTGTCTGTGAGGGCTGATTGGAGAGCTCTCTGGTGGTGGTCCCTGTGGACAGTGGCATTGGGTGCCCCACCAGAGTGTGGTCGCTCTGGAGCCCGTTGAGTTGGGCTGACTGGAACCCAGGCCTCTGTGTCTTGTCTGTTCCAATGATGAGGCCCACGGTGTGGCCCGGCCTCCCCCACTGATTACATTTTGAACAGGTATTAGGTGCTTGGTATATATATACATGGTCTAGCCTGGTGACAGGGACCGCAGGGGCAGGGGGCTTCCTAGGACCCAGGACTTCTGAGGTCTCGAAGGAGAAATACCTCATAGATCTGAGATGACATGGATGGGGTTGAAGTTCTCTGGCTTTTGTTAAACAAGGGTCTTTCTGGGCTATGTGGAGGGAACATTTGGGAAGCTGGTGTGGGTGGCTCTTACTTACCCCACCCAAAAGCAAGGCCATCAGTCCCTGCCCTGCTGGTCTTCCCCTCGGCCTGAGGAAGTGGATGGAGGGCCATCTGGGCACTCCTGAGGGCCTGGAAATCCCCACAGTCTCCCATCACCCCGGAAGCAGCCCCCAACCCCCAGTGCCCAGGCTTCCGGCTACAACAGAGGGGTAAGGTCAGGTTGGCAGGCACTGTGAGGGTGGGTGGAGAGGGCTGTCCTGTGGGCAGCACGGCTCTCCAGACCCTCTGCCCTCATCGACAAGGCCTTGGGGATGGCCCAGCCTGATGGGCTCTTCCTGCAAGCCTGGCCTGGATGGGGCCCTGAGAACACTCCCCCACTGGTTTTTATGGTTTCTGTCTGGCTCATCTCACTCTCCAGACCTGCCCTCATCCATGCCCTTGGACCCTCGGGTACCAGGCTCATGTTCGGTCCCTAAGAAGCCTAGTATGTGGCCTTGGAGCTCTGGAACTGTCCTGGAGACACTGTTGGCTTGTCCTCACAGTGGTGTACGTCTAGAGCCCAAAGACTGCAGGGGATAGAGACCACATGGGCCATGTCACCTTTGAGGGGACAGCACTGTCAATCTGGGTTGCAGAGAGGATGTTCATCCTATCCTTGGAGGTCAAGGTGCATGCGACGTGTGTGTATGTGTGTGTGCGCGCGCGTGTGTGCGTGTGTGCATACGGCAGGTCCTCTTAGCACTGCCAGTCCAGGGAGGGCTGGGTCTGCCACTCTGGGGCAGTGCCACGAGAACACAGGACCGAGGAGGGCTGGCACAGTGCTCCGCCGTGGGTGGGAGCTAGGGGTCAGAGGTCTGTCAATCTCATGGTGGCTTGAGCCCTCCTGCATTTGATGAAGGGTTTTCTTGATAACGTTTCATTTTGAAGTTACTCTTCAAGTCTCAGGAAAGGGGTGAGAACTCATAAGAGTAGATGCTGAGTGCCAGCCTCCAGTGTGGCGCCCCGCATAGCCGTCTATGTAGATCCTGAGTGCCAGCCCCCAGTGTGGCGCCCAGCATGGCCGTCTATGTAGATCCTGAGTGCCAGCCCCCAGTGTGGCACCCCACATGGCCGTCTATGTAGATCCTGAGTGCCAGCCCCCAGTGTGGCGCCACGCATGGCCGTCTATGTAGATCCTGAGTGCCAGCCCCCAGTGTGGCGCCCCGCATGGCCGTCTATGTAGATCCTGAGTGCCAGCCCCCAGTGTGGCACCCCGCATGGCCGTCTATGTAGATCCTGAGTGCCAGCCCCCAATGTGGCGCCCCGCATGGCCTCTATGTAGATCCTGAGTGCCAGCCCCCAGTGTGGCGCCCCGCATAGCCGTCTATGTAGATCCTGAGTGCCAGCCCCCAGTGTGGCGCCCAGCATGGCCGTCTATGTAGATCCTGAGTGCCAGCCCCCAGTGTGGCGCCCCGCATGGCCGTCTATGTAGATCCTGAGTGCCAGCCTCCAGTGTGGTGCTCTCAGCCGTCTATGTAGATGCTGAGTGCCAGCCCCCAGTGTGGCGCCCCGCATGGCCGTCTATGTAGATGCTGAGTGCCAGCCCCCAGTGTGGCGCCCCGCATGGCCGTCTCGTCTGTGTTGTGAAACCAGCCCCCACCTCGCAGCTTGTGTTGACTGCACCCTCTTCACAAGGGAACCTGTGTGATACGTGCTGACTTGCGATATACATAGGCGCGCTATACGTAGGAAGGGGCTCTGGTTCTGATCTCTTTGTCTGTCACATCCCTGACCCCGCTGCTACTGCATAGATGGAATCCTTGTAGTCTGCCATCTGGTGAGACCTGTGCCTCGAGGAGCTCAGGATGGTTCCTCCGAGACCTGTCCGAGCTGTCTGTTCTGCCGATATCTCCTTCCCTTTATCACTGCTGGAACAACTTTAAAAATTACGTCTCTGGCCAGATGTGGAGGTGCACACTTTTAATCCCAGCACTCAGGAGGCAGAAGCCAGCCTGGTCTACACAGGGAACTCCAGGTTTCCAGGGCAATGTAGTGAGGCCCTATCTTAAAAACAAAAAGTCCACCACGTCTTAAGAACAATTTCGACCTCCATTTCTAAAGCACTGTGTGTTACACAATAACTTTGGGTGACGTTCTTGGAGTTCCGGGTCCTCACGGGAACAGAATGTGGATGCAGTGGTTACTCCTGTGGAAATGATCCGGACACTGAAACTTGGGGTCTCCTTCTAACTGAACAGGGCTGCCCCGTACCCCACCCTACACAGCCCGTGTTGGTTTGTGGTCACACTTTACATAGGAAGGCTTCTCCGGCCTTCTCATCACCGGAGCAGGGGAGCTTGAGTCAGACAACAGAAACAATGCAGAGGAGTTTCTTGGGTTGTTTGAAACGTCTCCGAGAGATTTCCTTCTCTGAGTGGCTTTCTGGGGTTTGTCGGTTTATTTTGCGTGTGTGGGTGTTTGGTCTGCGTGTGTATCTGTACCTCACGTGCATGCCCGGTGCCTGTGGTGGCCAGAAGAGGGTGTCGGATCCCCTGGAGCTGGAGTTACAGATGGCTGCATGTGGGTGCTGGGAACTGAGCCTGGGGCCTCTGCGGGGTCAGCCCGTGCTGGGAACTGCTGAGTCAGCTGTCTGGCAGAGGGGGTCGATTTTATGTTTGTTTTATTTGCCGACTGGGGACTGGATCAGGAGCCTCCAGAATGGAAGGCAAAAATTCAGTTGCTGCCACACAGTGGTACACCCCTTTAATCCTAGCACTGGGGAGACAGGCAGGGGGATCTCCGAGTTCCAGGTTAGCCAGGGCTACAGAGTGAGACCCTGTCTCAAAACAAACAAAAGCATTCTCTGCTGAGTCACATACACAGCCTTTGCTAGTTTTTAAAATAAGCTCTGAACATAGAAGTATTAGATCGCTGGGACCAGGGTTGTGGCTGGAGGGTGTAGCGGCCACCTTGCACACACAAGGCCCTGGGTTTCATCCCAGGAGCACGTGAACACGGTGGTACCCCGTCACCCCAGCACTGGGTGATGGGGGAGGGGATACTCAGTTCAGGTCATTCTCAGCTAGATAACAAATTGGAGGTCAGCATGGGCTTCTGTGTTACATTTTGGGGGGTCCCTGCCAGCCAGCTCCCAAATAATGGCATGGAGACTTCTTACTGTGAAAGCTCGGCTGATGGCTTATGCTTGTTCCCAACGAGCCCTAACAACTTAAATTAACCGTTTCTACTGATCTGTGTTCCATCACGTGGCGTTCCCTCGCTTCCATCTCGTACCTCCTGTCTCCTCTCCCTGTCTCCTCTGGCCTACATTCCTCATCCTATCCCGGGAAGTCCCGCCTCTCCCTCCTGCCTAGCTGTGGACTGGTCGGCTTTTTATGACACCAATCACAGCAGTACATCTTCACACAGTGTACAACTATCCCACAGCAGCCTGCCTTCCCAGCTCCTCCCAACTGTGCTGTTGGCTGGTGTTTCCAGAGCCTGCACCCAGGGCAGGTGCCAGGGCCTGTGGACAGCGTGGGTTCTGTCCGTGCTGTGTCAGTCCTACGGAAGCCTTTGATCTGTCTGGACAAGCTCAGAACTCTTTCAGGCCAGAGTGGGTGACCACGCCTGAATCCCAGCACTCGGGAGGCAGAGGCAGGCGGATCTCTGAGTTCGAGGCCAGCCTGGGCTACAGACGGAGATCCAGGGCAGCCAGGTCTGCACAGAGAGACCCTGTCCGGAACCACAGTGGCTGACCAGTGTCATAGTGAAGTCTTCTTAGAGAATCCTAGTGTGCTTTCTGTCGCTGGGACAAACATGGTCACCAGAACCAGCTTGGAGAATTCAGAGTCTGTCTGGCTTACACGGTCCATCATGAGGGACACTGGGGCAGGAACCTGGAGCAGGAGCTGAGGCAGAGGCCGTGGAGGGGCGCTGCTCCCTGCTGGCTGGTTGCTCTCCATGGCTATTAAACCTGCTTTCTTTGTTGTTGTTTGGTTTTTTTTGTTGTTGTTGTTGTTGTTGTTTGTTTGTTTTCTTCTTCTTTGAGACTGAGTTTCTCTGTGTAGCTCTGGCTGTCCTGGAACTCACAGAGATCCTCCTGCCCCTGCCTTGGAGTGCTGGGATTAAAGGCGTGCGCTGCCACTGCCCGGCACCACTGTGTTTTTTGAAACAGTAACTCCACACCTAGTGCTCCCCTATCCAGCTAAGTTGGCCGGCCACTGGGTCTCGGGGATCTTCCTGTCCCTGCCTCGCCAGTGCTGGGGTCCCGAGTGTGTGTAGCACTGTGCCTGGCTTTTTAGGTGAGTTCTGGGGCTCAAACTCAGGTCCTCGTGCTTACGTGGTGAGGGCGTCCCAGTAAGTCTCCCCGGCATCTACTGGTAGTTCTGCTTACCCCAGGCAGCCAAGCCTGCCCTGAGTGTCCTCTCACCCAGACAGCCCGGTCAGTGTAGCCAGCCAGTCCTTCCAGGATCAGCCATTCCCACTCAGAGGCTGTGCCCTGGCCCCCCACTGTGTCTTTCCAGCACTCAGGAGGGGGCAGGGAGGGTTGTGAGTTCCAGGCCAGCCTGGCTACGTGAGCCCCACTCCTGCCTTCCCACCTCCGTCCCTTTGTCCTTGGCTCTCCTGGGTCTGTTGCAGTGATCTTACCGTGGGATCTTCTTGGAGAAGAATCGATATTTGCCATCAACTCCTTTCCACTTTTATCTTCATTCCTCCTTTAGAAGTTCTTATCTTTCTTTCCCCGAGTTTAGGAGTTTAGAATCCATGTGTTCACTAATACTTTTGATTATTAGTGGGTGTGTGAAGATGGAGTCCAGGGCCTCAAGCATGCTAAGCAGATGCAAACCACCTAGTCTGCCCTCAGCCCAAGGCTTGACTGAAGAGAGAGCGGGGTCGTGGTCGGGGTGGAGCCCCGCCTAGAATCCTCCCGTGAGGGCTGGGGGCGTGGTCAGGGTGGAGCCCCGCCTAGAATCCCCCCAGGGAGGGTCTGGGGGCGTGGTCAGAGTGGAGCCCCGCCCAGAATCCCCATTGAGGGGGCTGTGGGCGTGGTCAGAGTGGAGCCCCGCCCAGAATCCCCATTGAGGGGGCTGTGGGCGTGGTCAGGGTGGAGCCCTGCCTAGAATCCCCCAGGGAGGGTCTGGGGGCGTGGTCGGGGTGGAGCCCCGCCTAGAATCCCCCAGGGAGGGTCTGGGGGCGTGGTTGAGGGGTGGGGCCCCGCCTAGAATTCTCAGATATGCTGTACTATGTGTTCTATGCTGAGTTTTCTTCTGTCTTTTTTTTTTTTGGTTTTTCGAGACAGGGTTTCTCTGTGTAGCTTTGCGCCTTTCCTGGAACTCACTTGGTAGCCCAGGCTGGCCTCGAACCCACAGAGATCCGCCTGGCTCTGCCTCCCGAGTGCTGGGTTTAAAGGCGTGCGCCACCACCGCCCGGCTTTCTTCTGTCTTTGTATCACGGCCATCTTAGTCATGCAGCCATATTTGTTTTCTTTTTTGTTTTGTTTTGTTTACTTTTACTCTTTCAATTATGTGATGTGTGTGTCATCTGTGTGGGAGTATGCATATGGATATGTGAGTGCAACTGCAGTGTTGAGCTACCACATGGACGCTGGGAATCGAACTCAGGACCTCTGGAAGAGCAGCCAGTGCTCTAACCACTGAGCCATCTCTCCAGCCCTCGTTTTGGTTCTTTTGCTCTCATGCCTTTCTTTGTCTTCCGTCGTCCTGGGTGGAGTTGGTAGTGGGAGGAAGGCAGGTTCTGTTTGAGACCTTTGTGGGGCTTGCTTGGGACAGTGTCAGCTGACCTTGGGTGGACGCGGCCCGGCACTGGCTGCGTTGGCTGATGTTGTCTGTGGACGTGAGGAGAGGTGGTTGGGGTTGGTGAGTTGGTCCATGTACCTGATTAGAAGGCTCATGTGGAGATGGTGCTGTGAGCTGATGTCCCCTGTGGAGATGGTGCTGTGAGCTGATGTCCCCTGTGGAGATGGTGCTGTGAGCTGATGTCCCCTGTGGAGATGGTGCTGTGAGCTGATGTCCCCCAGCCCCTGTGGAGATGGTGGGGGCCACGCTGAGTTCCACCATACTGTGGGCTGCTCCTGGTGAGCTGCGCTTCCAAGTTGTCCTCCACACCAGGGCAGGGGATCGTCTCCATGATGGGCCTAAGAACGAATGTGTGAACCCTGTCGTGAATACAGCTGTAGACAGCACATGAACAGGAGAGCCCTGTACCAGTAAAACTTTATTTATAAAAGCAAGTCAGGGGCCAAAGTGCCAACAATGCTCACAGAAGAATAGAACTCTATGGGCCTTCTCCTAAGTTGTCTGGGCTTGATTGAGCCGAGTTCTGGGTGGAGGTGCCTGTTTCCTGGTGCTTCACCTTGAGGGGCATGAGGAGAGATTGTGGAGAGAGAGAGAGAGAGAGAGAGAGAGAGAGAGAGAGAGAGAGAGAGAGCGCCTGACACCAACATCTTCTATTAGACCGTTTTAATTAGTATGCAAGTGAAACTGCTGTGAATATTCATGTTGAGGTTATTAAGATGCATAATTTATCAGTGGGGTGATTTTAATAACTGTATTAATGGGGTGGGGGAGGGGCCTCCTGAGTTTTGTCATTTATAGAATGGAATGAGATAGGGTTTGTGCTGGAAGGTCTTGGAGTCTTGGGGCGTCCTCAACAGTGCCAGGCTCTGGGGGATGGGACACTCTTTGCTGAGTTCAGGGGTCACCCAGGCTGCTCTGGGCTTCCAAGGCGTTCTGTATACCCCTGGGGTTTATGCTGAATGAGGGTTAGTGGGACCATGACAGTATGGGTGTTGCCTGCCTACCCCACACACAGCTAAAAATTTTGGGGTGTAGACACCCACAGACTACACCTGATGCTGGCGGGGTTCCTGGAGCCCCCAGGGCTTCCTCCCAGCCCCCCACTGCCAACACACTGGAAACAGGAAGGAGTAATTGAGGGGTGAATATTCATGAGGCTGGGAGATTAATATGCATAATTATGTAAATTAGACCACAATTAAACACGATTCTCCAGGGAGCAGTTGATGAACACAAAGGCTCGTAATAAAGTCTCTAAGGTTTGAAAGTTTCTGGTGCGGAGCTGGGTGGCACGGGGTACATGGGGTGCAGAAGGGAGGGTGAGCACAGGAGCCTGCCATCCGCCCCCACCCCCCATCTAGAAAGTGGACGTGGACGCTTCAGTCCTGCGCCTGCTTGTTGGTGCAGTTTTACAATAGGGAAACTGAGGCACACAGCATGGCCATGTAGCCAGTTTGGGGGTGGAATCAAGGTTGGACCCTGGGGTCCCTGTGCATAGGGACGGCCCGGGGTGCCAGGAAGGAGCGAATTTGCTGCAGGTGGAGACTGCTCTCGGGGCAGAGGCCGTTAGCTGCCTGTGAGGAGTGTTGGGGGAGATAAGGGCCCAGCCCTGCTTTGCCCCGCCCCTCAGGACAAGGTCCTCTGGTCTCCAGGCTGGTTAACCCCTGTCTTACCATAGAAACCGTTGACCTTCCTCCGAGGCTGCAGGAGCCCGAGCCAGGTGTACCTCGGCCCCCATCCAACAGTCTGCCTACCCTCTGAGCTGGTCAGCCTCCCCAGTGGAGGCCCCCTTCCGGGGAGACCCTACTTCTGAAGACCCTTCTGAAGTCACCATGTCTGACTCAGATGCCCAGTCCTGCATGATCAGACATAGGCCTAAACAAGAGGCCTGGCTATGGGACAGAGTGGGCACAGCAGCAGAGGTTTTGACAGATGAGTAGAAGTCTGCCCTAGACAGCTGGTAGCCACATGACTGAGCTGCAGCGGCCTTTGTAGGAAGTCCCCGGCTGTAGATGGACATGCCTAACCTTATTGCTGTGGGTGAAGGAGGGATCCTGAAGCCTTCTGGGTCCCCTGAAAACTGGGCTAGGCTTCCCTTTGCCTCCTACAGGACTTGAGGACCGACCCAGCTCAGGCTCCTGGGGCAACAGTGATCAGAACAGCTCTTCCTTCGATCCCAGCCGGGTGAGACGCCTAGGTCCCTGAGTCTCCTTTCCTGGGCAGGGGGTGAGGAAACAGCCTCTGGGACAGTTGCGCTCAGCCCCTGGTGTCTCACCCTGCCTGTCTCCCCTAGACGTACAGCGAAGGCGCCCACTTCAGTGAGTCCCACAGCAGCCTGAGTTCTTCCACCTTCCTGGGACCGGGACTGGGAGGTGAGTGTGGCCTGCAGTGAGCCCAAGAGGGCCTCGGGGCACAGCGGCGTAGTGGAACTCCAGACAGCACCTCAGTAGCCCTGGCCTCTGCCCGGCCTGGGAGTCGAGGCAGGCCGTGTGCCAGGTGCCACTTCCCGCATGTTTGGTTGTGAACCTGCTTCGGTGGGGAATGCGGGGACTGACAGGCAGGGTCAGAAGGCCTGAGAAACCGTGAAGGTTGCTATGTTCTAGAGTCCGGAACTGGTCAGCGCTGACCCCGGCTCCTGCCAGCGTGGCCCAGAGTGGCCTCTGCCGTTGTGAGGTGCATGTTCCCTTTTGGGCTTCCTGCTCCGGCTCTTTCTCGGGTGTCCTGCCTGACAGGGCCACAGGGCAGTTCCCACACAGGCCAGCTGTGTCCGGTCCAGCCTGTCCTCTGCCCCCAACCCAACGCCCTGCTCCTGTTCCCCAGGGTGGACCCTGTGAGCTCTGAGGGCTGACAGGGTCAACAGCCTTCAGAATCCAGCCACTCTGGAGGCTGAAGCAGGACGATTAGGAAGTTAGGGCTAGCCTGGGCTACGTGAAGTTAGGGCTAGCCTGGGCTACGTGAGCCCCCCGTCTCAAAACAAATCAGGGCTAGAGAGACAGCTGAGCAGTTAAGAGCGCTTGTTGCTCTTGCAGAGAACCCGGGTTCAGTCCAGGCAGCCCCGTGGTGGCTCACAGCATCCATAACCCCGATCCCAAAGAATCTGATGCCCGCTTCCAGGCACACACGTGCGCAGACGTACGTGCAGGCAAAACACTCATGCACATAAAATAACAACTCAGACAAAGAAAAAGTAACAGAAGAGCATGCAGATCAGTTGGTCCCAGTGTTGGTAGGCTCCTCTTGTCCCCTGTCCTGTATCCAGGGGGCTGAGCAGCTGGGCCTGTCCAGGCAGGACCCTGGCCAGAGGCCTCTGTGACCCCCACCATCTGAGGGGCCCTCCTGGGGTCTCTGGTGACTTCCTTCTGTCCCTTGCAGGCAAGGGCAGTGAGCGGAGCACCTATGCCGCCTTCGGGAGAGACACCAGTGTTGGTGCACTGAGTCAGGTAAACAGAGGCAGAAGGGCGGAGGTGGCCCGACCTCCAGGATGACCCTTGGGGCTGAGACTGTACCAGGGGAGCTGCAGTTGTTGAGCCCCAGCTGAGAGCAGGCTGTGCACCGAAGATTGTCACGTTCACGTCACCTCTCAAGTCCCAAGCCGCTCAGTCGCCCTACCCCACGTGAGGAGCAGATCTGGGCAGCATACAGGATATGGTGCTCAAAGCCCCGTCTCTGCTGCTTCCATGGGGCAGGCCCCAGCATGGGCCTCTGTGCCCCAGGGTGAGAGGGTGCATCCTGGGCGCTGTGCAACAGCGAGGCTTGGGGCCCTGGCCCAGCCCTGGCCTGCTCTTGTGGCATTGATCTCCACAGCTGGTAGGGTCTCCAGACAGGGATCGGCCTGGATCTAGACATCAGCCCCAGCTTCCTGGTGTCCTCATCCCCCCAGGCTGGCTTCCTGCCAGGAGAGCTGGGCCTCAGCAGCCCCGGGCCACTGTCCCCATCGGGTGTCAAGAGCAGCTCCCAGTATTACCCCTCATACTCCGGCAACCCTCGGCGGAGAGCTGCGGATGGTGGCTTAGGTGAGTTGGGGCTGAGGGCGTGGGTATGGTGAGGGGCAGTTGTGGCAGAGACTGACGCCTGGCCTGGGTGCTCCTGAGCCTCAGTGGCCACAGGGGTGCCAGCCCCTGGGATGTGATGAGCTGGGGGCACACTTGCAGTGAGGGCCTCACACTAGGTGCCTAGATCTGCACCTACAGGGTGTGCTGGCCCTGGGGCTGCTGCACCGGCATTGCTGGGTGCGGTGGCCTGGGAGAGGTCTGTTGGGCTGTCCTGACCCCCGGGTTCCTCTGTGCAGGGGGTTCCCCTGTGTTTTCTTGCATCGCGATCTTGGAGTCCCAGTGGGTGGGACCCTGGGTCTTTAGATTTGTTTTTTGAGACAGGGTTTCTCTGTGTAGCCCTGGCTGTCCTGAAACTCACTGTGTAGCCCAGGCTGGCCTCGAGGTCAGAAATTCACCTGCCTCTGCCTCCCGAGTGCCGGGATTAAAGGTGTGCGTCACCTCAACCAGGCTGGGAGCCAGGTTTTCGTGGCCGCGTTAATGAGGCCCCGGACTGCAGTAGGGTCCCCATGAGGGTATGTGGAGAGGGCGGTGGGCAGACGACCTTACTCCCGCTACTGTTCCCAGCAGATACGCAGCCCAAGAAAGTCCGGAAGGTCCCGCCTGGTCTTCCCTCCTCCGTGAGTATGGGTCAGGCCGTCTCTGGCTTGGTGGGTTTTCCATGCTAGGAGCTGTGGCCACATCCCGTGGGTGACCAGGCTTTGAGGGAACATGTGTGAACTGAGCATGCCCCTCTCCGTCAGGGAAGTCCTTCCTCAGGTCCGCCTCACTCCCTCTTGCTTTAGGAGTGGGTTTTTGTAGCTGTAACCTCTTAACAGTGGTGGGGTGGGGGGGTGATGGGCGCCCTGGGAGCTGGGGCAGCCAGGTCCCGTCTGTTCCCCAGCCACACCCACCTGCCAAGGCTGGAAGTGTCCCCGCCCCGCCCACCGACTTGGTGTTTGGCTGGTTGCCCACCCTGGCAGATGGTGGCTGGCCCTCGGAGGTTCACGGCGCCATGCGCCTGTGATTTAATCACATTAGGAAAGGCAGTGTGCTGGATTCTCTGGCCTGGCTGCCTCCCCCAGCCCTGGGGAGGTAAGGTCACGAGTTCTAGGGTGGCCTGAGCTACACGGTGCACCTTGCTTCCTCTGTGTCCCAGGAACCCTGCAGTCCTCATTGATGTCAGCACTAGTGTGGGCCGTGGTGGAGGGCATAGACCAAGGCTCCCTAGAAACACACATACTGGGGAGCAGAGCTGGGATCCGAGACTATGACCAGCAGAACCCAGTTAAGCTTAGTGGAAGTTAACCCAGCAGCCAGCTTAGACTTACTGCCTGCTCCCCTACCAGGGCAGGCCTGAGCAGCCGATCCCCTCCCGAGTCCTGTGCAGGGCAGCCCTGAGCAGCCGATCCCCTCCCGAGCCCTGTGCCAGGGCAGGCCTGAGCAGCCGATCCCCTCCCGAGTCCTATGCCAGGGCAGGCCTGAGCAGCCGATCCCCTCCCGAGCCCTGTGCCAGGGCAGGCCTGAGCAGCCGATCCCCTCCCGAGCCCTGTGCCAGGGCAGGCATTGGTGGTAGACGCCCACTCTGTTTCTCTAAGCTGTCAGAGTTCCAGCCAGTGCCAGCTGGTCAGGGTCGATGCCGTTGGGTGCTCCCTCTGCACCTTCTATGCTGTGGGGGAGCCCGGCCCAGATGCTTGGCTGGGACCCTGCCTCTGTGGCCTAGGATCCTGTCTACCCAGAGGGACAGGGAGATTCCAGCACCTGCAAATGCTAGACAAGGGAAAATCGAGAAATGAGCATTGGAGATGGGGCTTTGTGCATTCACTAGGAGTTTGCTATATGGAGGCAGGCCACAGTGTTCCCGAGAGGCAGAAGCGGTCTGTAAGAGGCGGGGAAGGGAAGTGAGGTCACCAGTGCCTCAGATTCTCGGGCCTGGGTCGGGCCTACCTGAGCAGGCAGGGAGGCGTTTAGGAGGGTGGGGCTGGGAGGACATGCCCCCCCCCTCTTACTGTGCTCTCCGGCAGGTGTATCCGCCCAGCTCAGGTGACAGCTACGTCAGGGATGCCGTAGCCTACCCCTCCGCCAAGACCCCCAGCAGCGCGTACCCCTCCCCCTTCTACGTGGCAGGTGCGTGGGGCTCCCTGGACGGGGGGGGCTCTGCAGAGCCAGGTCCCTAGCCTCACCATCCTCCTCCACACAGACGGCAGCCTGCACCCCTCGGCGGAGCTTTGGAGTCCCCCCGGCCAGGCTGGCTTTGGTCCCATGTTGGGTGACGGTTCGTCCCCTCTGCCCCTTGCACCGGGCAGCAGCTCTGTGGGCAGCGGTGCCTTTGGGGGCCTCCAGCAGCAGGAACGCATGGTAGGTGCCGTGGGCGGACCTGGGTGGTGCCAACACCCGCCTGGTCCTGCCCACCCCTCACCCATCGCCCTGGTCCCCTCAGAGCTACCAGCTGCATGGATCTGAGGTCAACGGCACGCTCCCAGCTGTGTCCAGCTTCTCCGCCGCCTCTGGCACTTACGGTGGAACTTCGGGCCACACGCCGCCTGTGAGCGGGGCTGACAGCCTCATGGGTGAGCTCACACTCAGGATTCCTGGGTGGGAGCCAAGGGGAAGGAATCGGAGCTCCGTGGAGATGGGACACTTGCTGGGCTGCAGAGCTGGAGGGCGTGGGCTCCTCCTTTTGCCACCCCAGGTTGGCCCTGGAATGTTAGAACAGGCCCCATGAAAAGTGGATCTTCCACTTTACTCTGGGGGAAACTGAGGCAGAGGGAGCCTTGTTCGTCTGGTGAGCAGGTGTCAGTGTTAGGCAAGACTTGGACACTGGTCACCGCTGCCTGTGCTGACCCTGGGGAGGTGGGTGTCATAACAGGGAGGGTCCCATCCAGTTGGCGGGATGGAGGCTCCCAGCGCGGGGCTCACCTGTCTCCCCCAGCAGGTGCCCGAGGGACTACAGCCAGCAGCTCAGGGGACGCTCTTGGGAAGGCACTGGCCTCGGTGAGCAGGGGCCTGGGCTGGTGGTGGCAGAGCGGGGCTCCTGGTAGCCTCGCGGTGGTCCTGACCCCGGCCCTCTGTCCCACACCGCAGATCTACTCCCCAGATCACTCCAGCAATAATTTCTCGCCCAGCCCCTCGACGCCTGTGGGCTCACCCCAGGGCCTGCCAGGTGTGTATGGGACGGGCATGGGAGCCGTGAGTGGCCTCAGGGCTGTCCCCAGTCGGTAGCCCTGGCCAGGTAGTGCCGTGAGGGTGAGATGGGCTTGAACCTGTCAGACAATCGATAGACCCCGATGGTTGACCGGGGGCTGGGCAATGGTGAGGCACACCACCCCGGGGTGGGTGGTGGTGGGGCCGGGGTCAGCTAGGGCCGGGGGAAGTGGGAGCCGGAAGCCTCTACGAGTCTGGGGAGACTGGGGTCAAGAGCAACGTGCTCTGCCGGGTGTGGCACACACCTTGATCCCGCGCTCGGGAGGCAGAGGTGGGGATCTCTGAGAGTTCAAGGCCCACCCTTCGCTTGGGTTCGGAGCCGTGGTCCTAGGTGTGGAAGGACGGAGAGGAACTGCCCCTGGGGTCCCTGCTGGCACCCGGAAGCTGTCGTGTCAAGGCTGGTTCCTCGGGTCGGGTGTGGGGTTTGAAAATGGAGCAGTCTCTGGTGTCTGTGTGGCTGTCGGGCATCTCTGAGGGCATGCAGCTGTGGGTCTCGCTCCTTCTCTGTCCCCACCGTCTTCCTTCATGCCTTTCCTTCCCCTCCAGGGACATCACAGTGGCCCCGGGCAGGAGCGCCCAGTGCCTTATCTCCCAGCTACGATGGGGGTCTCCATGGCCTGGTGAGTGTCCCTTCCCTGCTGGCTAGGCACCAATGCCAGTACCACAGAGTACGGAGCCCTTCAGGGGGAGAGGTCGCCTCAGTGTCGGAGGGGCGGCTTCGAGAGGCGGTGGCTGAGCCTTGGGAAGCCCGGGTCTTAAGGAGGGGTGGGGACAGAGGGACCTGCTGCTGGGCCGGGGCTCACCGGGCATGTGTGCAGCCCTCGCTGGCACCTCAGATCTTGGCCGTGGTATGTCCACCTGTCACCTCTGTACTCAGGAAGTGGAGGCGAAAGGGTTAGGAGGAGTTAAAGCGTCTTCAGGAGTGAGGCAGGGGGATTACAGGTTTGGCTTCAGCCTGGGCCACAGAGGGAGACCCTGTGTGCAGCGTGTGTGCGTGCACACGCACACGCGCGCACATGTGCACGCTCCCCTCAGCGCCTTCTCTGCCCACACTCACAGCAGAGCAAGATGGAGGATCGCTTGGATGAGGCCATCCATGTCCTTCGCAGCCATGCCGTGGGCACCGCTAGCGATCTCCACGGACTTTTGCCTGGCCACGGGGCACTGGCCACGAGCTTCGCAGGCCCCATGCCACTGGGCGGGCGGCATGCGGGCCTGGTGAGTGTCAGCCTGGGGCAGGGGTGGGTGGCACGTGGGGGCCCTAGCCACCCTGACGTGTCTGTCCTCCATAGGTCAGTGGAAGCCACCCTGAGGATGGACTCCCCAGTGGTGCCAGCCTTTTGCATAACCATGCCAGCCTCCCCAGCCAGCCCAGCTCCCTCCCTGACCTCTCCCAGAGGCCGTCTGACTCTTACAGCGGTAAGTCCCAGCGGGAGGGGAAGGAAGGACAGAATTACTGTTGTTCCGAGGCCGGAGGAGTGACGCGGCCCGGGTTTAAGCTGCTGAAGCGCGCACACCCGAACTGGATGCACAGTGGTGTGTGCCTGGGCCTCCTGCGCCCAGGAGCTGCCGTTGGCAAGCCCCGGGTTCGTGAGAGCCTGGGCCTCAAAACTAAAAGCCACAGTGTTGGGGACGGACGTTGTTCGGTTGGTGCTTTTCACGTGAGAGCCTGAGTGTGCACCTCGTAACCCGTCACTGAGGAGCCGGAGGTGGGGGTGGGGGGACACCCAGCTTAGCGGTAAAACAGCGAGCTCTGGGTTCGGTGACAGTTGTCTGGGGGCCGGGTTAAGTGACCAGAACAGGGCACTTGGTGGACGTCTTTCTCTGCTCTCTGTACTTACACGTGCCCACATGTGCAGACACGCGCACACACACGGACTGTCACTTGCCACCAAGTGGCCAAGAGCAGTCAGCGGTCTAACTATTGTCATATCCTCACGGTAGCCCGAAAGCTTGGGACCGTTGTGTTCTGATTCAGTCTGGGACACTGAGTCCCAGCAGGGCCAGGCTGACTCCTGGCGGGGAGCCTGCTTCTCAGATGAGGGCCTGGGACAGGTGCGGTTCCCACGGTGGCTGTCAGCAGGGTGGTGGGGGCAGTTCCCTACCGCAGTTTTAGGGGACATTAGGGCCAGCGGGGTGTAGTTTAGGGCGAGTGTGGGAAGGAAATGGGACGGTGTCTCAGGGTGCCAGTGATGCTGAGTCTGGGAGGTGACAGGCGGAGGCTCCCTCCGGCAGGAAGGTGTAGCCTGTGCAAGGCCCCGGCCGGCGGAGCCTAAGAGAGCAAGGGGCATGGGGGAGGGGGGGAGAGGGGGCTGTGGCGGGCCAGCGTGCAGGGACCTGTGGCCTGTGGGAGCATGCGGCCAGTGGAGGACTGAAGTGTCCCACCTGGAATTCGCAGGTGCCTTCTGGTAGCCTTAGGGATGCCGATGGTGGTGTTAAGGGCTGTGTGGATATGGGGTGGGAGGCCAGGGGTGACGTCCCGCAGGAGAAGCCCGGTCCCAAGTGTCAGCTGTGAATGGTCTTTTCCAAGTTCCCCTCGGCGCCTCCCAAGCTGGCCCGTGGATCCCCCAGGTTGCTTCCGCACCCAGCATTGTGTGTAGCTGAGATGACCTTCAACTTCCCATTTCTTTCTGAGGCCTCCCAAGTGCTGGGGTGATGGCATGTGCCACCACATCAGCGTTAGGGTTTTAGTGTTTTCTTTTAGACACCCTCACCCTGTAACACAGCAGGGTTTTGAACTTGTGATCCTTCTACCCCCACCTCCACGTGCTGGGGCGATGGGTGGGTACACGCTCTCTGGCTCCTCCTGTAGCATTCCACAAACTCATTCCCTGCCCCAGAATTGACCGCAGGGTTTGTCTCCCCGCCTGTCAGAGCTGTGAACGTGCAGTCTTCAAGCAGTGCGTGTGTCTGTCTGCAGCCGCCCTGTGCGGAGGCCGGATCCGAGTCCGGCTCGGTGTCTGCAGTCGCCCTGTTTGGAGGCCGGATCCGAGTCCGGCTCGGTGTCGGGGGCGCAGAGTGCGGAGGCCGGATCCGAGTCCGGCTCGGTGTCTGCAGCCGCCCTGTGCGGTGAGGCCGGATCCCCGGCCCGCTGGGTGTCTGCAGCCGCCCTGTGCGGTGAGGCCGGATCCCCGGCCGGCTGGGTGTCTGCAGCCGCCCTGTGCGGAGGCCGGATCCGAGTCCGGCTCGGTGTCTGCAGCCGCCCTGTGCGGAGGCCGGATCCCCGGCCCGCTGGGTGTCTGCAGCCGCCCTGTGCGGTGAGGCCGGATCCGAGTCCGGCTCGGTGTCGGGGGCGCAGAGTGCGGAGGCCGGATCCGAGTCCGGCTCGGTGTCTGCAGCCGCCCTGTGCGGAGGCCGGATCCGAGTCCGGCTCGGTGTCGGGGGCGCAGAGTGCGGAGGCCGGATCCGAGTCCGGCTCGGTGTCGGGGGTGCAGAGTGCGGAGGCCGGATCCGGATCCGAGTCCGGCTCGGTGTCGGGGGCGCAGAGTGCGGAGGCCGGATCCGAGTCCGGCTCGGTGTCTGCAGCCGCCCTGTGCGGTGAGGCCGGATCCCCGGCCCGCTGGGTGTCTGCAGCCGCCCTGTGCGGTGAGGCCGGATCCGAGTCCGGCTCGGTGTCGGGGGCGCAGAGTGCGGAGGCCGGATCCGGATCCGGCTCTGTGTCGGGGGCGCAGAGTGCGGAGGCCGGAGCGCCTCCAGTCGTGGCCTGGGGCAGCAGCGGTGCTGGTGGCCTCGTTTCGCTTTCCATCTTCGTTTATCTGCCCCACGGATGAGGCTGCACCCCGGCCAGGGGCCCCCAGGGCAGCCTGGTGGCCGCTGCCCCCCTCATCGCAGGCTTCTTCCAGGACTCGGGAGGGCGGGCGCCGCGGCAGGCGCCAGTGAGATCAAGCAAGAGGAGAAGGCCGACGAGGAGGACGCGTCCGTGGCCGACGCCGCCGAGGAGGACAAGAAGGACCTGAAGGCCCCGCGCACGCGCACCAGGTGCCAACCCTCCCCGTGGGCCACGCACGCACGCACGCACGCACACGCCACACGCCACAGGTGCACACACGTCACACCCGTGCACACAGACCCCGGGAGGCCCCGCAGGCCACCACGCCACCTCACTGTCTCCCTCTGGCCCCCGGCTCCCCTCCCCCGTAGCCCAGACGAGGACGAGGACGACCTTCTCCCCCCAGAGCAGAAGGCCGAGCGGGAGAAGGAGCGCCGGGTGGCCAATAACGCCCGCGAGCGCCTGCGCGTCCGCGACATCAACGAGGCCTTTAAGGAGCTGGGCCGCATGTGCCAGCTCCACCTCAGCAGCGAGAAGCCGCAGACCAAACTGCTCATCCTGCACCAGGCCGTGGCCGTCATCCTCAGCCTGGAGCAGCAGGTGCGAGGTCAGTGGGCGGCCCGCGGCCCGCGCCTCCGCCACCCCCTCCCTGCTGCCCCGCCAGAGCGCAGTGAGCGGCCCTCCCCGACCGGCCCTCGCACCCTCGGGTCCCCAGACGGCCCCCCTGCACTCGCTCTTCCTGTCTGACCCCCTGAACTGACTGTCCATGCTCCTTCCCCACACTGCCGCCGTGATGACCCCGTCCACACCGACCGACCCGTCCACACTAACCCCGTCCACACTAACCCTGTCCACACCGACCGACCGGTCCACACCGACCGACCCCATCCACACTAACCCCGTCCACACCGACCGACCCGTCCACACTAACTCGGTCCACACCGACCGACCCGTCCACACCGACTGACCCGTCCACACCGACCGACCCGTCCACACTAACCCCCGTCCACACCGACCAACCCGTCCACACAGAGTGACCCCGTCCACACCGACCGACCCCATCCACACTAACCCTGTCCACACCGACTAACCCCATCCACACCAACCGACCGGTCCACACCGACCAACCCCATCCACACTAACCCTGTCCACACCGACTAACCCCATCCACACCAACCGACCGGTCCACACCGACCAACCCCATCCACACTAACCCTGTCCACACCGACCGACCCCATCCACACTAACCCTGTCCACACTAACCGTGTCCACACTAACCCTGTCCACACCGACTGACCCCATCCACACTAACCCTGTCCACACCGACTGACCCCATCCACACTAACCCTGTCCACACCGACTGACCCCATCCACACTAACCCTGTCCACACTGACTGACCCGTCCACACTAACCCTGTCCACACCGACTGACCCCGTCCACACAGTGACCCCATCCACACCGATTGACCCCATCCACACTAACCCTGTCCACACCAACTGACCCCATCCACACCAACTGACCCCGTCCACACAGTGACCCCATCCACAAAGACTGACCCCATCCACACTAACCCTGTCCACACTAACCCTGTCCACACCGACTGACCCCATCCACACCGACCAACCCCGTCCACCCCTACTGACCCCGTCCACACCGCCTGACCCCATGCTGGCGATCCCCACTCCCCCACTGACATCACAGCTCTTCCACACCAGCTACTCCCTGCACTGACTGGCGTCCACACTGACGGATCCCACACACCGACTCCCTCACACCTCAGCTGTCTCACGCCAGCTCTTCCCCCACACGGGCTCTTTCCCACGCTGATCTCCCCGACGATGGCCGCGTCCTTACTGTCCCACACCAGCCGCCCCTGCGCGGACTCCGTCCCTGTGCAGACTCCGCCCCTGCACTGACACCCCTCCACAGGGAGTTCCCCTCTGCCGGTGCCCCCTGCCCTGGAGGGACGGTCCCCTTTGACTGACTGACTTCCCACCTTCCTGGCCTTGAGGACCACCTCTGACAGGCCTGGACTCTGCACCCGGGCTCCACTGCCTGAGGACTTCAGTCCGACTGCCCCACCCCAGGCTCTTGCTAGCCTGTCCTTATCCCGGACCTGGCTGTTAGGGGCCAGTGCCCCCCCAGCCCAGGAGCCAGAGGTGCCAGCTGGTGTGGGAACCACCATCACTGCTGACCCTGTCAGGGCCCCGACCTACCCCTCAGAGCATCTTCCCTGACTCAGTTTCCCCATCCCAGATGGTGTTAATCCACCTGCCCAGGGCCGGTAAGGGAGGACCAGAGCTTGGACCTACCCCGCTGCTTCCTTCACCCGCACCCGCCCCGGCCCTCCCGCCTGCCCGCCTGCCCTCCTGCCCGCCCGCCCGCCCGCCGCTGTTAACCTTCTCTCCTGCAGCATGGTGGACTCGGCCCAGCCGCCCACTGTCTCCTTGGCTCCAGGGGCTCTATGGCTGTGGCGGCAGAACGCGCGGCCCACCCTGTGCCCACGAGTCCGCCTCATCTGCTCTCTGTCTTTCATGCTGTGCTCTACCCTGGCTGTCCCCTGCTTGCCACACGCCGCCCCTCACCTCGCACCTGCCGCCCCGTGGACAGGGCTGGCCGCACCGCCACCTAGGGGCCTTTTGTCCCATCAGGCCCTACATGGCCTCAAGGGAAGACAAGGGTCCGTTGGGCACACAGCCTCTGGTGCCCACATGCAGTTTGGTCTGTGCGCTTGTCCTGAGGTCTGGGGCCACTGCCCGCCACCCAGGGGGATCTGGTCCGTCCCAGGGCAGCAGGGGACATGAGTAGCAAAGGCCACGGGCTGGGCCTTCACAGCCTAGGTGCCAGGGTTTTGACTGCCACCCCGCTCTCCCCCGGGAGGAGACTGAGGCACAGGTTCAGCACAGGGTGAGGGGGGCTGTGCCAGTGTGTGCTTCCTATCAGGAAGCCTCAGGCCAGAGGCAGGGACAGGGTCTCAGCCTTGGGTTCAGTCGTCTGTAGCCACTGCAGGGCGTCCGTCAGTGGAGGAGACAGTCGCCCGGCCTGGGAGTCAACGCTCCGGGCCCAGCTAGGGTGCCTGTGGCTCTGGGGCGCGGGGCTCAGGCCTGAGTGCAGTTTGCTCTCATGAGCCCTGGCTCGGTCCAGGCCTCAGCCTCTGCCTTGCAGGGCAGCCCAGCCCTGAATCCTGTCACCCAGAGCCATGAGCAGGGGCAGGGACAGCTAAGAACCCACTGCCCTGTGAGGCTCCACCTCCCCCACATGTGTTAGGGGACAGCGGGCCTCTGGCCTTCCCGCAGACATGGGTCTAAGGACACACAGACAGATGCCCTTAGGGGTGTCGCCGGCACAGGGCACCGGTCACCCCGTCACCCTGAAGAGCGTCTGTCATGCACATCTCCCCAACACTGGCTGCCACCCACGTTGTCACCTCACACATTAGCACATAGCACGCAACGGCCCGGCCCCCCCTGACGGAGGCTCGGTGCTGTGACCCAGCAGTACGGACGAGGTGCTGTCCCTGGAGGAGAAGGACCTGAGGGACCGGGAGAGACGCATGGCCAATAACGCACGAGAGCGCGTGCGCGTGCGGGACATTAACGAGGCCTTCCGGGAGCTGGGCCGCATGTGCCAGCTGCACCTCAAGTCGGATAAGGCGCAGACCAAGCTGCTGATTCTGCAGCAGGCCGTGCAGGTTATCCTGGGCCTGGAGCAGCAGGTGCGAGGTAGGCCGCGCCCGCCCCATCCTGCTCTGCCCTGGCCTCTTGCTGGCCAGGGGTAGCCACGGCACAGTCCCAACCCTCCCTGTCCCCACCTGGGGACCGTCTCCCACCGCGCTCTCCTCCCCCACTCCCCCCAGAACGCAACCTGAACCCCAAAGCGGCCTGCTTGAAGCGGCGGGAGGAGGAGAAGGTGTCCGGCGTGGTCGGAGATCCCCAGCTGGCGCTGTCGGCCGCCCACCCTGGCCTGGGTGAGGCCCACAACCCGCCCGGGCACCTGTGAGCCGTCCCGTGGGTCTCCGTGGGACCAGGGACCACTGCACTCTGCCCAGGGTGCACCAGGACGGTCCTGGATGAGGCGTGGGAGAGGGCTCAGGCTCACCGTGGTGGCGCCGGGGCTCCAGGATCGCTTCGGGGCCTCGGGGCTCCGGGACAGCCCTGTGTCCTGGCCCCAGTAACCAAGCTGAGGGGAGCTCCCCCCTCGATTAACCGAAACTGGAAACAAAAGCAGCATGCTCACTTTTCAGAAAAGAAAAAAGATGCCTTAACTGTGGAAGAGTCGGGCCGCACCCCGGCGACGGGCGGCCGGGGACTGGCTTCTGGTTCAGAGCCACCAGCACATCGTGCCTAAGCGTATTTTTTTTAAGGAGAATAAAAGAACATTAGTTATCAGATTTTTTTTTTAATGTAGACAAAACTTAGCGAGAACGAGGCCTTCCGTGTCTTACTGTTATTTTTTTTAGCTTTCTTTTGAGTATGTTTTGTAAGCAACAAATTTTTGTATAAAAGTCTCCTGTCTGTTGCTGTTTCTAGAGCTCGGTGTCCTATTTCGTGGTCTACGAGGTTATTAAAGTAGCATTCAAAAGACCCAGTGTTGATGGAAGGGTCACGCTGCCTAGGGCCTGGCACAGGGTCTGGACGTCCGGCGTCCCTCCCCGTTCCCACGAGCCCAGAGCCTGCTTGTGCCCGGCACGCGCCGACAGCCCAAACGCAGCCTGCCTCTCGGAAGGTGACTAGTCCCCATGGCCTTGGACTCGATGCTCCTTTTTTCTCACTGCCCTGAATGCTTGGGTAACAGGGTGCAGGGGTCTCTAAAGGGACAGAATCGATGGAGCGAATATATATAGATACATAATTACGTTTGTGGGTTGGGGTATTAGCGTGGCTTAAGGGCTGTAATCTGGGTAGTCCTGGTTCAGCAGTTGCTCAGTCCACAAACAGGTCTCAGCAGTCCCAGTCCAGCGCTGGAGTCCTGGAGGGTTCCTGGGGAACTGCTGGTCTCAGTCTGCACTGGGATCCGGGGAAGTGGGCTCTCACACCAGTGAAGGAAGCCTCAGCCGCAGGGCAGAGGAGCCTGCCAGCCAGAGCGGGCAAGCAGGCGGAGAGCAAACGCGGCCTCCTCCTGTGGGCTGCCGCCGGAGGGTGTGGCCTGCCGCCAGAGGGTGTGGCCTGCCGCCGGAGGGTGTGGCCTGCCGCCGGAGGGTGTGGCCTGCCGCCGGAGGGTGTGGCCTGCCGCCGGAGGGTGTGGCCTGCCGCCGGAGGGTGTGGCCCGGGTGAGGGTCCCGTCAGCAGAGTCCCCACAGGTGTACCCAGCTGCTTGGGTTAGTTGTTCCAGATGTGAAGTTAACTGTACTCAGGCACCATTCACACAGCCGCAGCTGGCTCTTCAGTAGATGGTTCTGGCTCTGGCTTCCCTCGCTCTGTCGAGGGGTGCATGAGTCCCCCTTCCAAGTATCTTCGCCCATTGTTCAGATCCCTGTGGCATCATTTCTTCCCATCCTAGACCCTGGGGAGGATGTTGGTGGGACTACCAAGGACCCCCTACAGCACTCTGGTCATACCTGCTCCATGCTGACCTCTGTCCTCACAAGCTACCCTCCCTTTGGAAACCCCAAAAATCTCCAGTGAGGCGATTTTGGTGGGAACCATGGTAACACCTTGTTAGGACAGATAGTATTCACCGCTCTGGCTCAGGGACTCAGCGCCTCTGGAAGCCTGTGGGAGGAAAGGCTGGATTGGAGGGAACACAAGATTGCCATACCACATCCCTGCTCCCGTGGCTAGTTCTCAAGGTGGACCGGCCGGCCATGGGGGCTCCTCCAGATTCCCTGCCTGCTGGGTTATCCAGGAGCAATCGATCTGCCCTCGGCCTGAGCGTCCAGGAGTCCCTGTGTCCCAGGGGGGTCCACAGACGCCCTGCACACGGCTGCCCAGCTGCAGGACCACAGAGGGTGGACTGAGGTGGTGGCTCAGTTGGTAGAGTTCTGCCCACATGTGTGCCTGAAGCCCTGGGTTCCCAGACCACCTGTGTCCCTCTCGGCCTCCTGAGCTGGAGTTAGAGGGTTGTCACGGAAACTCTACATAGGTGCTGAGTATTGGAAGTCAAGGGGGCGGGGGGTTGTTTTTGAACCTGGTTTCTCTGTGTAACAGCCCAGGCTGTCCTGGAACTCACTCTGTAGCCCAGGCTGGCCTCAAGCTCACAGAGATCAGCCTGCCTCTGCCTCCCGAGTGCCGGGATTAAAGGCCTGCATCATCACCACCACCTGGCTGGTTTTTTTAGAAAAAAATTGCACTGCGGATGTCTGTTTGGCCTGGACCTTGCTATGTAGTGGAGGATAGCCTTGAACTCAGCTCCAGATTCGTCAGTTTCCCAAGTGCTAGGATTAGAGACATGGCGACCCAACTTTGTATTTTTAAATTTTAAGTATATGAGCATTTTGCGTGTACATGTATGTATGTGCGCACCATGTGTGTGCACTGTGACAGCCAAAAGAGGGCATCGTATGCCCCAGACTTGGAGTTACAAGTGGTGGTGAGCAGCCATGTGGGTCCTCTGCAAGAGCAGCCGGTGTTCTCAAGCATGGAGCCTCCTCTCCTGGTCCCACCTTTGTTTGTGGGATGAGGTCTTTGAACCCGGAGCTGAACTAACCTCTTAGGCGGGAGTAGCTCAGCGCTGAGCCTGTGCCTCCTGTGGTAGCAAGGCCCACCCCCGAGATCCCAGCACTGCGGTCTCTGTTGGTTCTCGGCCAAGGACGGTGGCCCAATGGAACCTGCGGTCCCCAGGGAGGTTCCCCCGGGAACTGTGCGGTCCAGGAGGGAGTCCAGCGCTGAGCAGATACCGCATGCCAGTCTAAACACTACACACACTTCAAAAGTGGGGCCCAAGGGACAAAGGACGGAGCTTCCTACGGGCTTTTGTGCCCCTGCATCCAGGTGGGGCAGCCCCAAGTGCTTGCTGGGGGATGTGTATCTGGGGGTGTTCCTGCCTACCTTCTGCTGGTCTTCTCATTCTGGGAGGTCAGACAGGACAGGGACTTCAGCGGAAAGGTTGACCAAGGAGGGCCTGCCCGTGTGCCAACCAGGGGAACCCAAGGTGTCCCGTAAGGAAGATCCGAGCAGGTGGAGGATACCTCCAGTGCAAGCCTCCCCCTCGGGGCCTGCACAGGTCCCTTGCCTGTGTGGCCTGCTAACTCCTGTTTAATCGGATGGGGCAGGCCTGTGGCCCAGTGGGTAGCCTGCTCCTCTAGCTTGCACAAAGCCCTGGGTTCCACCCCCAGCACTGCCTGCCTATGCCAGGCCTGGAGGTGCAGGCCCAGGGCTTAGGAGGTGGAGGCACCTTCTCAAGAACAACAGAGCGTGTGGTTTTGTTCTGTTTGTTGACGTTGTTTGGTTTTTCGAGACAGGGTGTCTCTGTGCAGCCCTGACTGTCCTGGAGCTCACTCTGTAGCCCAGGCTGGCCTCGAACTCAGAGATCTCCCGCCTCTGCCTCCCGAGGGCTGGGATTAGAGACGTGCGCCCCCACCAGTGTGTACGATTAGTCATCACGTTCGGACCCCGGGCCCGAAGTCCCCTTCCAGTGCCTCAGGCCGCCTGGAGACAGCGTCAGGATGGGCTGCGACCTCAGGCTAGACGCCCCGCCCACAGGGGCGGGGCCTAGCGTGTCTGTCAGCCCTCCCCGGAAGTAAGAAGTCAATGTCTTCGGAACCGGCCAGCACGACCGCCGGAAGCGGGTGGTGCGTTTCCCTTCGCGCATGCGCCGTTGGTCCGCACATGCGCAGTGCTCCAGGGCAACGGGAACGGGGTGACCCAGAGTGCCGAGACCCTGCCGCGATGTTGGGCAAGTTTCTGGGCCCGCGCTACCGGGAGTTGGCCAAGAACTGGTGAGGAGCCCGCCCACCATCCCACCCCTGTGCCCTGGGAACATGGGGGAAACTGAGGCTGGGGCAGCTGAAGTACTCCCGGACACAGTGCAGGTAGAGGATCCAAGGTCAGTCTGAGCTGCCCCGAGCCTCAGTTTCCCCAGCCCGACCTGGGGATCCCTGTGCGGTACGGGCGGGTACCCTGGGCTCCTACGGCTCGGGACTCCGGCTTTCAGCCCGGCGCCTTGCTGCTTTTGGCTCCGATTTTGCCTTCTTTAATTTTTTTTTTTTTTTTTTTTTGGAAACAGTGTTTCTGTAACCCAGGTTGGCCTCGAACTCCCGGCAGTCCCCCTGCGTCACACTCCTTGAATACTGAAACCATAGGCACCCACCATGAGTGTTCTGTTTGCATGCATATCTGTGTACCGTGTAGCCTGGAAGCCGCGTAGGCAAAGAGGGCATCGGATCCCCTGAACCCGGAGCTAGAGATGGTTGTGAGCACCATGTGGGTGCTGGGAATTGAACCTGGATCCTCCGGAGGAAGAGGCATCTCTCCAGCCCCTTTCGTCCCTTTTTAAATTTTAGTTTATTTCCACTTACATGTATATGTGAGCGTTTGTGCTCACGAGAGTGCGGGTGCCGGAAGGGTCCAGAAGGCGTTGGATCCCCTGGAGCTGGAGACGTGGATCTTCTGCAAGAGCAGTGAGCTCTCCCAACCACTGAGCCACCTCTCCAGCCCCCACCTCCCGGCTTTTAAGTTTTTTTAATTTAATTTTGATTATTGCTTTTTGCAACGATGGCAGTGAGATTCGGACCCTAGACCCGTTGTCAAGCTAACACCTCTAAGTGACAACCCCAGCCCTCCAAAACGGTTGTCATCCAGGTGTGCCAAATCTGCAGCTGTGGCCCAGCGGGCGGATCCCTCGTTCAGCTCTGTGTGCCAGTCCTCAGCACTGCACATGGGCTTGGCAGGCTGGGACAGGGCCAGCACTTAGGAGACAGGGCAGGAGGATGAGAAATTCAAGGCCAGCCTTGGAGACAAAGGACGCACCTCTACAACAGCAACAACGTGTGCGTGTTATAGAAGTTATCACATTAATACTGCAGTCCCAAAGTCACCCTTCCAATCTCACACGCAATTCTGAGGTCTTAGGGGCCATCCCCGGTACCAGGGGCCTGTCATGGGGCTGTCATCCCAGCACTGGGGAGCTGCAGGCAGGAGAATCAGGAATTCATGCCTGTCCTCTGATGCATCGTGAATTCCAAGCCAGAGTGGAACACATGGAACCCTGTCTCAATAAACAGATGATGGACAGATGGTAGATACATAGATAGATGATAGATTATAGATAGATTATAGAGTAGATAGATGATACATGATAGATAGATACATACATAGAATCATACATACATACATAGGTAGGTAGGGAGATGTAGGGTAGATAGTAAGTGCATCAATGCCAACAACTGTACCTTGCCTGACCCCACAGGATAAGCTGTATAGTATTGGTGATCTCAGTGGACAGCAGCATGAATTTTGTGATTGTTACAGGCAGAGGTCACCTGCTGGGAGACCAGGACGTGGGGCTCACTTGTGGGAGGTACTGTTTGTATCTGAAGCTTGGAGGTGCCAGCCTGTGTGTCTTGGTAGGGGACAGGGGAGGTCAGGTTCTAGCAGTGTAGCTGGGTGGCTGGTATCTTGGTGATCTGCATAGTTGAGGTTCACAGACTCTCTCTTCCAAACTCCACACGGTCCCACTGGCCATGACCAATGGAACCCAGCAGCCTGGGACTGTCACCCGAAAGGGAAGGGTCTTACAGTGAACCAACCCCAAGTCCTGAGCTGACCCAGACGAAGGTTTCATGGCCATCCAGTGCTTGGAATCCAAGTTCTTTTTTTGTTCATTTGTTTTTTCGAGAAGGTTTCTCTGTGTAGCCCTGGCTGTCCTAGAACTCTGTAGACCAGGCTGGCCTCGAATTCAGAGATCCACCTGCTTCTGCCTCCTGAGTGCTGGGATTAAAGGTGTACACCCTCAGGCCCAGCCTTTTAGGCTGGTTGTGAACCAAAAGCAGCCTTCCTGCCTCAGCCTCCCACACGCCCTGTGGTCAGGCACTGGGAGGGCTCTGGACTGTCATCATGGGATGTCGTGGGAGAAGATTCTCAAAGGCTAAGTCACCAGCAGCTTCTAACTGCTTCTGTCCCCCCAGGGTCCCCACAGCCAGCATGTGGGGTGCCGTGGGTGCCGTGGGGCTCGTGTGGGCCACAGACTGGCGACTGATTCTGGACTGGGTGCCTTACATCAATGGCAAGTTTAAGAAGGATGATTAGGCAACCCCTCGCCACACACAGGACCTCCCTGGTGAGTCTGAGTGTTGGGCCTGACTGCTGTGGGTTGGGGGTTCTGGAGTGGTTCTGGAGGGGATCCCTGAGACGTCCCCATACCCCAGGATTTTGGATCCTGGTCACGACCTCAGCTGCTAGACTGGCTTGCAGCCTAGCTCACAGAGCTGGTGCCCACATCTGGTGGGATGCAGACACTCCATTGTACAGATGGAAGCGCTGAGGCTGTCCCTTGCCCCGGGCCTCTTGGGATATGCTGAGGGCATGCAGCACCGTGTGTCTTCAAGCCACACCAAACTGGCTGTTTGGTTATATTGGTAGCTTGTTGCCCACAATACAGTCCTGTGTAGACCACTCATGCCCCAACTTGTGCGTGTGTGTATGCATGTATGCATGTATGCACGTGCATAGGCATGGAAGCCAGGGATTGGGGTGGGTGATTTCCACTATCTGTCTCCACCTTACTGCCTTGAAACAAAATCTCACTGAACCTGAAATCTGCCTCTGGCTAGGCCATTTGGCCAACCAGCAACTTCGTGGGGTCTTCCCGTCTCTTGCAGCCTCCCTCCCTAGAGCTGGGGCTGCGAGCATGCACAGCAGAGCCTGACTTATGTGGTGCCAGAGCGTGGGTCCTCATTCTTACACAGCAGGTTCTCACTCACTGCGCTGTCTCTCCAGCCCCTGCACGCACGCACACCCCTACACCCCTGCAGTGCCCCACACACACACCCCTACACCCCTGCAGTGCCCCCACACACACATACACACACACACACACCCCTACACCCCTGCAGTGCCCACACACACACACACACACACACACACACACACACACACACACACACACAAACACCCCTACACCCCTGCAGTGCCCCCCCACACCCCTACACCCCTGCAGTGCCCACAGAGGCCAGAAGAGGGCTCCAGAGCCCCTGGACCTGGAGTCACTGGTGGTTATGAGCTGCTGTGTGGTTCTGGGAACTAAGTCCAGGTCCTCTCCAGAGCGGCTGGTGTTCATCACTTGCTGAACCGTCTCCAGTGCCAACCACACAGGCGTCTGAACCTGGAGCTCATGCACTGGCTGGACTGGACAGCTACCACCTTCTTGTTTGCCTGTCTTTGGGGGATGGAACTTGGGTCCCGTGTTTCTGTGGCAGGCACTTAGTCTATTAATTACCCTCCCAGCCCTCTTTCCCATCCTCCAGACAAGGGCCTGTAGCTCATGTGACACTGTTGGCATCATTCACAGGGTTCGGGGCCCTGGGCTGGCTCCTTGTGTGCTGAGCTCACCCTGTGCTGTCCCCTCCCAGGTGCCATCCTGCTGCCTCAGGAACAGCTTAGCCCAGTGGAGGATGCCGAGGAAGCCGGACACTGAGGACGCCCGCATCGTCCTGGGGGAGCCTCTGCATTGATGGACACTTGGGCTGCCTTCGTGGGTTTAGCATTAAACCTTGTTCTTACACCTCCGACGCCTGGGTCTCCTCATGCTCCCCCAGCTCCCTCCTCCTTGTCCTCCTCAAGGCTCCCCCAGCTCAGGGGTCCTGTCAGCACCCAACATTTGGACGTCTGGAAAAGTCTTCAATGGCAAGCAGAAATCCTTGCCACACTGAAGTATTTTCTGGATAGAAACGGCACCGTGTGTTCCCTGGGGCTGACTCGTAAGTCACTCAACTTTAATGGCTCGTAAATAGTGTTCAGAGTCCCTGCAGCCTCTGCAGCTGCACAGCAGCCGCCTTCCTGGTTTAGTTGTGCTGAGACAGGGTCTTAGGTAGCCTAGGCTAGCCTCAAACTCAATATGTAACCAAGGCTGCCTTAAACTTCTTACCCATGCCTCTGCCTCCCAAGTGCTAGGACAACAGGTGTGCTCCGCCATGCCTGTGTTTGTGGGGCTGAGAGGCTCCCCAGGGCTTCCTGTGTGGTAAGTGAGAGCTGTCCTGAGCTACAGCCACAGCCCTAGAAAGTGCTGCTTTGGTTATAAAAAATGCTGCCATCCATCCTGGTGCAACACACACATTTTCATCTGAGTTCCAGACAGTGTGGGCGATGTAGTGACGTCGTCTCAGAAAGTCCTGGGTACAGTGGCACCCACCTATCCTGTCAGCTCTCTGGACATTGAGTCAAGAGGATCAAGAGTTCAGGGTTATCCTCTGATACTTGGAGAGTATGAATGTTTATGTGTATGAATGTTTTGTCTACACGTCTGTCTGTGCATCATGTGTTTCTGGAGCTGAGGCCAGAACGGGGTATGAATCCCAAGACTGGAGCCGCTATGTAGGTGCTAGGCTACATGGAACCTGGTTTCAAAAAAGGGGATTGTGGGGACAAAAAAAGAGTTTGGAGATGGCTCTGTGGTAAAGAGCCCTTGTTCTTGCAGAGGACCCAGGTTCTAGTCCCAGCACCTACATAGCGGCTCCAGTCTTGGGATTCATACCCCGTTCTGGCCTCAGCTCCAGAAACACATGATGCACAGACAGACGTGTAGACAAAACATTCATACACATAAATCTTTAATAACAAGACCAGGGCCCGGGAATGCAGGCCTGTTGTCCCAGCTACTCGGGATGCTCAGGCAGGGGGATTGGGAAGTTAAGGCCAGCTTGAGAGATTTAGTGAAGCTTTTGACTTGAGGAGTGGTCCAGCAGGGTCCTCCCACACTTGGAAGGCTGAGGCAGGATGGGAGAGTGACAGCCGGAGCTGTCCCAAACCAAGCAAAAAGGGAGGCTGGGGTGGCTCCATCAGACCTGAGCACCTGAGGTAAGCCTCTGGGTTATTCAGGCGTGGGATTCAGGAAAACGGTACAGGTCAGAAACCAGGCTGGGGATGTAGCTCCTTACCATGTGCGAGCCTCCATCCCCTGCACCACATAACTGAGTGTCCTAGTGCCCACCTGTCATCCCCAAACTGTGGAGGTAGAGGTGAGAGGATCAGTACGGGCATCCTCAGCTTTATAGAAGGCCGGGAACACCCTGAGCTACTTAAGACCTCCTATTAGTCTAATAAAAAAAAAAAATGGAGAGGGGTGATAGTTCAGTAACCTGCTTGCCAAGCAAACAGGAACATGAACCCTTTCCCCAATACCCACAGAAGAGCCCAGCAGGGCACATGCCTGTGACCATGGTGCAGATACCTCCCTGGCCCGCCTGTCTAGGCAAAACAGTGAGCTCCAGGATGAGAGACCGTGCCTGGGAAAATTAGATGGTTCTGGATGGGAAAACGTACAGTTTTTGTTTTTAAATTATCTTTCCAAGACAGGGTTTCTCTGTGTAGCCCTGGCTACCCTGGAACTCACTCTGTAGACCAAGCTGGCCTGGAACTCACAGAGATCCACCTGCCTCTGCCTCCGGAGGGCTGGGATCAAAGTTGTGCTCACCACCGCCCGGCAAGAATAAACTTAAAAAACAGTTTTGGGTGAAGCCGAGTGGTGGTGCACGTCTGTCAACCCAACATTGTGGATGCAGAGGCAGGAGGACCGCAGAGGTATGCGGGGTGGGATTGGAGCTACACTACTGTCGCAATAGGCGAGTATGTCGAGTCCCTGCCAGACGCACACTGCGCAGGTGCAGCCGATCCCAACCCCAGGACAGACGCCTGCCCGGCGGAAACGATTCCAGCGTGCTAAAGACCAGGTGCAGAACGCTCGCTGCTTGAGGAGTCCAGAGCGCAAGCGCGGTTGGTGTCCCACCCCACCACGCTGATTGGCTGTCTCTGTCGAGGCGGGCCATACAAGTGAACGGAGACATCCTGGGCACTCTGATTGGTCGGAATGCCACGGGGCGTGTCCAGGGCGGGGCCCACGAGGTACTTTTGAGCGGAGGAGCGCAGACTGATCCGATTGGCCTCCCCGCCGTGGGGCGGGTCTTGCGAGCGAATAGGGGCGGGACCGAGGCTGCGGCTGCGCAGAGAGGCTCGAGGGCCGTCAGACGAGTCCCACGAGCTGGGAGGGGCGGGGCCAGACTCCGCGACTGCGCAGACGGGCCCCACGCGCGGGCGGGTGGGCGGAGCGGCCCCCCTAGCGGGGGCTGTGAAGCGCGGGGAGGGGGCCGAGCGGGTGGCAAAGCCGGCGCGCGCCCGGCTGGGGGCGGAGGGCGGAGGCCCGCGGGGCGGAACAGCCGCGGCGAGTGGCGGCGGCGGCGGCGGGAACCGAGGCGGCGACGAGCTTGGGGGTCGCGACTTGCGGCATCGGCGGCGGCATCGGCGGCGGCGGGCCCGGAGGCGGGCGGAGAGCCGGGGCGCAATGGAGCGGAAGAGGTGGGAGTGCCCGGCGCTCCCGCAGGGCTGGGAGAGGGAAGAAGTGCCCAGGAGGTCGGGGCTGTCGGCCGGCCACAGGGATGTCTTTTACTATAGGTGAATGAGCGCGCCGGCCGCGCAGGGCCCCAACGGGCGCCTCCCAGCGGCCTCTGCGGCGGCCTGGGCGCCCCGACTGCGGGCCGCGGTCTGGGCCGGGCGACGTGCGTGCGTCCTGCGTGCCGGCCGTGGCCGCTGCGCACGCGCCGGCCTCGGCTCCTCGCCCAGCGCGCGTGCGCCCGGCCCAGCGCCTCGCCTACTGCTCGTGCGCACCGCTCCGCGCCGCTGTCACCCAGCGCGCGTGCGCCGCGCGGGGCTTTGGCCGGCCCAGTACGCGTGCGCGCCGCCCGCCGCGGCAGCCTCGTGGCTCGGCGCCCGTCCGTGGCGCGAGCTTTTGTCCTCTGCGGGATCGGGGACCGTGCGCGCCAGGCGAGGGGCGCCCGGCCGTGGCCAGACGCCGCTGGGAAGCGGGGTGGGGGGGCGGGGTGGACCCCGGGGCCCTCGTGGGGAGTTCGCGGGGGCCACACCGAGGTTCCGGGGAGCAGGGCGAGCTGCCCGGGTGGCTTGATCCCCTCAGCTGCACATTCTGCCTTCTCGTCCCCCCCGCCCCATGCCTCCATTTCTGCGGTTCTTCCACGGCCCTTGCGCTTCAGTCGTGCCCCCGGAAGTCACATCTGCCACAGCGGCTTCTGATCACTGTGAACACCCAGCCTTTCCTGTTTCTGTGTCCATACTTTTTTAAATTTTGATGCGGTGGTGTCTAGGCAGTAGTCTACGTAAACCGGGCTGGCGTGCAGCCTCTCGGGCAGGGTAACACAGCTGTCCGAATTGCAGCCCGCACCTGCTGCTGTCTCCCCTCGGCTTTTGTGCGGTGTGGTGGGCACAGCACCCCGGGCCTTGTGCGTGCCAGGCCGGCACCCTGCCGCTGTACTGCATTCCCAGTCGCCCTTTCCTCATGCAGCCAGAATTGCATGGCGGCTTTGTGGGGAAGTTCTGCGGGCCCTTGGTCTTGTGGAGTCTCAGGTTCCTTTAGGTCTGAAAAGAGGGGCGGGGCTGTTGGTTCCTAAAGGACTGAGGGGTCTTCCCAGGAGGGCTGCTAATGGTGTCTCTGGGTCCCATGTGCATGCGGCCCCACCCCCTTCTTCCTGACTTGTGCAGCCTCGCTGGGGCTTTGTAAAGCTCGTTAACCCCGGTGTTCTGTCCTCTAGAGTCCAAGGACATGATTCCAGCTCTGCCACTTTTTTCCTGGGCACCTCAGGCCTCGCAGCCCTCCAGCCTGCTGCTGTCCTCACCTCTGTCTAAAGCACAAAGTGTGAGAAACACCTGTGCCTGCTGGGGGCTGTGGCCCGGACAATGGGCCCTCCTCCTTTGGGAGTTGGTCCAAAGCCACCTGTCCCCAGGCTGTAATTACCCCACTTACCCTGTCCTGCATATCCATGCCCCAGAACAGCTGCAGATGCCACCCACCTCATTTGTGCATGACATCCTGTCAGTCAAAAGGTTCTTCGGTGAGCTTCCTCACTAAGAACCCTCCCACACGTGGCCTGACACCATGTGCACTCTTCGGCCCGGGAACTTTGTCCCCAGGGTTACTGCAGGTCTACACCCTGCCTGCTGAGGGCAAGCTCGAGCTGCCCAGCTCTGGGTGCATTGCATGGCCTTGTGTGGGTCTGCAGCAGTGCTCAGAAAGCACCCTGCACTGTTTGCCACACACTACATCACAAGGCACCCCCACCCCAGCCGCCACAGCCTTTCTGACTGGGATTTGTTTTGTTTTTGAGACACGGTCTTGCTATGTAGCCCAGGTTGGTCTGGAACTTGGGGCCCTCCTTCCTCAGCCTCAGCTGAGAGGCATGTGCCACCATGCCTGGTTTTGTAGTTTTGTTTTCTAAATTAATACAGCTTTGTTGAGATGATTCAACCTATATGCCAAATTCACTCACTAGAGGGTAGTGGGCTTTGGCGTGTTCACAAAGGTGGGATCACCATCAAATATGACTTTGGAGCATTTGCCATTTTAAAATGAGGCCCCAGGGGCTAAGGCCGGAGCTCAGTGAGTAGACTTCCGCCTGGGGCATAGTTGGCTCCGGTTTGTCCCCATACCAACCACAAAAACCAGGCTTCACTGCCCGTCATCACCACATTCAGAAGGTGGAGACAGGGGACCAAGGTTTCAGTGTGGCAAAGCCTTTGCCTTACACTACCCATGCTCCCTCCCACCCCCTAAGCAGCTGCCAATCAAAGGCCTGTGCCTGGCTGGGGTCCAGCTGATCTGAAGCTTGGGGCACATGTGGGCTGCTCAGTGCCAGCCCAGTGGTTTTGGGACCCCAGGCCCTGGCAGGCAGTGTGGGCTGGGGTGCCTCATTTCTGTGTGGTTCTCACACTGGGGGGTCTCTCCTGGCAGGGTGGGTTCTGGGGGCACTCTGGGATCCTGGTGTGCGTGGGGCATTATCCGTCTGGGCAGGACAGTCACATACAAAGGTTCCCAGCAGACACGACCACCTCAGCTGTCAAGAGGGACAGTGATTGCCAGCAAGATGTAACGTCAGCCCGACTGCCAGAGCTCCCCTGCGCTGAGACTAGGATGGAACCCCGAGCCTTCACACGCTCCCACGCTAGCTCACCACTGAGCCACACCCAGCCTGCCACCACTTGTGACTTTACTGAGAACAGAGATCGTGCAACTATGAAACCAATCCCAGAATATCCCACTCAGCCCTGACAGACCTGCTGCTGGTCCTGGAACACTCTCTATCCTACCCCACGGATAGTACGATGTCCTCAGGGCTCCTCCGTACTGTAATATGTCAGAGCTCTGTTCCTTTTCGTGGCTGAGTAATACTCCAGCATGTAGTGGATCACACAGGCTGCCCTACCTTTTGCTCTGAGTGTTCATCACAGTTGGGATCCAGTTTCCAGAAGACCTAGAGTTTGACTGGGGCAGTTAGGGTTGTCAAAACTATGCCTGTCCTGTGTGCACGGGCCTAAGAGAACACGCTGGTACACGTGTGCCAGCCCACACTCGGGAGTTAAGGAAGCACTGACTATATGGCAAGTTAAGGCTAGCCTGGGGTACATGAGACCCTGTCTCAAAACCAATCAAAGGAAGCTGAGGACTGTGTAGCAGTCCTGAAGCCATGGGTCCTACCTCTAGCAACACTTGAATCCAGGCAGTGGCCACTCAGGAGCTGGAAGCCGCAGGATCAGGAATTCCTTTGTTTAAAATTTATTTATTCTTTTTTTTTCCTTTTCTGGAGCTGAGGACCGAACCCAGGGCCTTGCGCTTGCTAGGCAAGCACCCTACCACTGAGCTAAATCCCCAACCCTTTTTTTTGGTTTTTCGAGACAGGGTTTCTCCGTGTAGTTTTGGTGCCTGTCCTGAATCTCACTGTAGCCCAGGCTGGCCTCGAACTCACAGAGATCCGCCTGCCTCTGCCTCCCGAGTGCTGGGACTAAGGTGTGCGCCGCCACTGCCCAGCAGGACCAGGAATTGTTGGTTACATAGTGAGTTTTGAGACCAGCCTGGGCTACATGAGACCTGTACCCCTACAGATAGGTGGTTTCTGACCCAGGCACCCGAGGGTGCAGGTCCCAAGCCCCGGCTCCCTAGGGCTGTTCTTCCCGTTCGCTTTCCCTATGAGACCCTGAAGCGCGGAGAGCACCCCCTTCCAAGAGTGGTGGGCCGGGGTGACCTGCTCGGGCTGACCAGCCTCCCGCCCGCAGCCCCAGCGGGAAGAAGTTCCGCAGCAAGCCACAGCTGGCGCGGTACCTGGGCGGCTCCATGGACCTCAGCACCTTCGATTTCCGCACGGGGAAAATGCTGATGAACAAGATGAATAAGAGCCGCCAGCGCGTGCGCTATGACTCCTCCAACCAGGTCAAGGTGAGGGCGGTGACGTCAGGGCAGGGGGCGGGCCCTGCGGGTTAGCCACCATCGCCATCGAGTCAGTACCTCGGCTGGCGGAAGCATGGCGCGCATTTGGTTTGGTGGGTGGGAGATCTGCCCGCCTGATCGCCCGCCCAACACCATTCAGGCTCTGGCTAAACGCCTCCCTGGCCCCTCCAACCCTCCGTGGATCCCGGTCGGAGCGGCCCGCTGCAGAGTCTTCTCCCCCCAGGGCAAGCCTGACCTGAACACCGCACTGCCTGTACGGCAGACCGCATCCATCTTCAAGCAGCCGGTGACCAAGATCACCAACCACCCCAGCAACAAGGTCAAGAGCGACCCGCAGAAGGCGGTGGACCAGCCGAGGCAGGTGAGCCCCCGCGCAGTTTCCAGGCGTCCTTCTGGGAGCAAGGAGCCAGCGCCTTGATCGAGATAGGCAGGTTCCCTTGCCCCAGAGCTGCATCCCCGGCCTCTGTGTCTTTGCTTGTAAAGTACTTACTCTTCAGAAAGAATGCCCCGAGCTGGGTGGCTCACCCTTAGCCCAACCCTGCTCAGCAAGAAACCTCCGCTTAAAACAAAAAAAAAAAAAATCAACATAACAAAAGCCAAGGCTCATTTGTGTTTTTCAGGCCTATTTGTGAACACCCCCGTGGCTCCTAGGGGCTGGGATGGATGGATTGGTCACATCCCTCCCACCTCTGCTTCCTGTAACCTTGCCTCTCTCACCCTAAAGCTGTTCTGGGAGAAGAAGCTGAGCGGCCTGAGTGCCTTCGACATCGCTGAGGAGCTGGTCAGAACCATGGACCTGCCCAAGGGCCTGCAGGGTGAGCTGGGGCGGGGGGATGCTGCCCTCTTGACGTCAGTGAGGCGGGTGGTGCCCTGGTGGTGAGGCCTCTTCTTTTTTTAAGGTGTGTTTATTTGTATGTGTGTGTGCCTGTGTGGAGTTCTTTGTACTGCCTGGGTACTGGTTCCCGTGGAGGCTGAGGGCGTCAGATAGCCTGCATCTGGAGTGACAGGCGGTTGGGAGCCCTCTGAGGGGTGCTGGGAAGCATTCCCAGGTCCTCGACGAGATTAGTAAGCACTCTGCTAGCCACCTCCCGGGACTTAGTGTGGAACCCTGGCAAGCCTCAGGCGCACAGATCGCCTGTCTTCTGCCTTTGCCTGGGCTTACAGGCTTGGGCCGCCACGCCAGGCTTTGGTGAGGTCTGTGGACTGACTCCTTGTCTTCTGACAGACTAGCCTAGGGTGAGGTCATGGCTTCCCAGGTGGCAGCCTAGGCCTGTGGGGCGTGGAGCAGCCTGTGCTGGCCGGGCCTGCCCACACTGTCCTCCCCACAGGGGTGGGCCCAGGCTGCACCGATGAGACGCTGCTGTCGGCCATCGCCAGTGCGCTGCACACCAGCACCCTGCCCATCACGGGCCAGCTCTCGGCAGCCGTCGAAAAGAACCCTGGCGTGTGGCTAAACACTGCGCAGCCACTGTGCAAAGCCTTCATGGTGACTGATGACGACATCAGGTACCTGTTGTCCCGTGCCCCGCCCCCATCTCCACAGTTCGTCATGGCAGGGATGCAGGGCAGGCCGGCAACTACCTGGCTTCTCAGTATGTTCTAGAATGGCTGGGGTCGAGGGGGGCGGGGGTAACAGACTGTGAGGTTCAGTCTTGGCTCAGTAACCATGACTACCACAGGCCTGGGAGAATTGGGAAACTGAAGAAGCTGGGTGGGGCTGGACCTGAGTGACAGCCCTCAGGAAGGGTCCAGGCCTGGTCGGGAGTGGCCAGGGAAGGAGAGGACCCGGGTGGCTCTGCGCTCCTGTGTGGACAGGGCTGCTGAGCGCTGAGACAAGGCTCCTCAGCGGGAGGCCCTGGACCCTGAGGGCCTGGCCTGGGTTTCCTGTCTCACACCAGTGTGTCAGGCCAGACAGGGACAAGAGCAGGACCTGGTGGAACTAGATTCGGGGCCCATGGTGGCCCTCAGCCGGCTGTCATCTGTGGTTCCCATGTATCTTGGACCTGAAAAGCTGAAAATGTTAGACCAGCGGTCGCTCAAGCTGATGGGGAAGCCGTCGGAGTTCCTAGAAGGGATGGGTGGTGGCGTACCTGTGGACCGATCACTGGGTTCCTTGAGGCCCTGAGGTGAGGGTGCCCAGCCCGTGTGCCCTGTCAGAGTGTGTCCTTCCAGGAAGCAGGAGGAGCTGGTGCAGCAGGTGCGCAAGCGTCTGGAGGAGGCGCTGATGGCCGACATGCTGGCCCACGTGGAGGAGCTGGCCCGGGATGGGGAGGCGCCACTGGACAAGGCCTGTGCTGAGGACGAGGAGGACGAGGATGAGGAAGACGACGAGCCTGAGCCTGAGCGGGTCTAGCACAGGTACTGCAGGCCGGCCAGGGTGACGGGCTCGCTCCCACCCCAGTCAGGCTGCTGATCTCTTCCCTCTGCCTCTTGCAGATGCCCTGCCACGTCTGGGTTGCAGACGCCTCGAATGGCCTTGCACACTTCCCTCAGCCTTGCCTGGACCAGGTGGGGGCCAGGCCAGCAGGAGGCAGGCCTCCTCCAGCTTCCGGGCCTCGGTGCAGGGAGCCCCTGTGGGCCTCGGACTCCCTTGCCCCTGCACTCGTGGCAAGAAGCCCCACATTGAAAACTGCAGGTGGGTGGGGTGCAGCTAGGAGGCAGCCTTCACCGTGGTCACCCTCCTGCCTCCTCACCATAAGAAGCAGCCCTGCTCGGCACCAAGGAGCTACAAGCTTTGTTGGGCCGCTGGAGGAAGGTTCTGGAAACACGCCTGGCTGTTCCTGTCTTTCAGCGCCACAGGCCAGGGTCTGGACTGCTACCAGGGTCTCGGGGTCGCCAGCCTCCCTGAGCTAGGGCCAGCAGCCAGCCAGGAACTTGCTTTCCTTCAATAAACCGATGGTAGGAACTTAGCCTCTGACTTCTCACTCTGTGTGAGCCACAGCTCTGAGGGCACCTGGAGAACCCACAGTGCCTGCTGCCCAGCCCGCGGGACCCACATGCTTCTGGGCCTCAGGGAGCCTTGGGGAGGGCTCAGTGGTTCTACAGAGCCCAGTGAGTGTACCTGGCCGTCCTCAGTCCCAGCAGGGTCTCCTCCAGGCTGGGCAGCACCCAAGGCTAGAGCTGGCACCTCCAGCCTGCCCTCACCCCCAAGGACCACGCTTCTCACTGGATCGTACCCAGGCAGCCCCTCCAACAGAGATGTCACTCTTCTCTGGGTTCTCCCTAGGGCTGATCATAGTGACCTGTGCCACCCCAGAGGACCCAGGGTTTGTAAGTTCCCTCCAGGACAGGGACTGGTGACCCCAGCATCCATGGGCAGAATGATAAAGGTTTGGCATGGGAGACTTCCAGCGAACGAGGCTCCGTCCTGTATAGCACACTAACCTGTGAATACTTGGGCAGCTCTGGGATGCCACTATCACCCCTGGTGTCCCCTACCAAAGAGGGCACTTTCCCTGTTCTCTCACTAGCCCCCTCTACTGTAAGACTTTTCTTGGACAGGTCTGCATCCATCAGAGAGGACCTGGTCCTGCCCTGGAGACTTCTGCAGGACTTTCCACACAGCCTGCCCAACATAAGCCTCCCCTGTGCCCAGGCTCTAAGTCACTGGTGGCCCCAGCAGGCCCAGGGCAGTACAGCCTGTGGTGGGGCACCCTGCCGTGGGTGCTGGGCCTGCTCCGGGAGGTGGGGATGGGCCCTCTGTCTGCACCCAAGGGTGCACAGGGCTCCCTACTGTCCTTCCACGAGCCCTGCATTTTTCTGAAAGCCTCCTGCCACACTTAACATCCAGCCCACAGACCCCAGGTCCCCCGGCAACCCCATGGCCCTCGCACATGACCACGTGCCCTGCTGTCCATATTTCTGCCCATGGGCCAGCATGAGAACAGATGGTGGTAACGTAGGTAAAGCTTCCCTGGGTGGGGCCGTCCACTGCCAGCGTGTTAGCCGGCCATGGGCGGGAAAACAGGGCTCTGACACAGGCCACAGCCAGGGAGAGGCCGAGAAAGCTCACAGTGGGGGCTGGGTGCGGTGGCTACGCCTTTACCCCCAGCACTAGGGAGGCAGGTGGCTGTGAGTTCAAGGCCAGCCTGGTCTACAGAGCCTGTTACAGGATGGCCAGGGTTGCACAGAGACACCGTTTCAGAAAGAAACAAAAAGCTCACAGTGGAGTTGGAAAGGCAGGGACAGGGAGGAGTGCTCAGAGCTGGGGAGGACTCAGGCTCCGGAGGATCGCCTCTTGGGATGATGGAATATTCTGCAACTACGTGAAGGTAGCTCAGTGTTTTGGTGCTGGGGTGGAATCCAGGGCACCATGCTGGTCAGCCGGGGAGAGGTCCTGGACACTGGTCACTGCAGCCATTTTCAAATGAACCGAAGACTCTCCAAATTTAGCTTTATTATTAGTATGTGAAGCCTGACCTGCCAAGAATCCTCACATGCTCAGAGACCTGCGTGCCAAGGCTGGCGTCAGCATGGCCACCTTGCCTTCCAGAGTGTCCTGCAAACTGCCGCCACACACACCTTTAATCCCGTGGCCCTGGGGCAAAGGTCAGAGGACACGGCCCACAATCGATCGCAAGTTGTCATGCTTGGAGAGCAAGCGCCTTTCCACGCTTTCATCTACTCTGTGCGGGTGCCGTGCACACGGAAGGCAGCGTCGGAACCCTGGGGCTGGAGTTAAGATGGTTGTGAGCCACCATGTGGGTGCTGGGACTTGAACCTGAGTCTACTAGGAAAGCAGTGCTCTAACCACTGTGCCATCGTCACTCCTGCCCTCATTTTTTGTTTTTTTGGTTTTTTTTAAAGATTTATTTATTCATTATGTACACGGTGTTCTGCCTGCATGTGTCCCTGCAGGCCAGAAGAGGGCACCAGATCTCATTACAGATGGTTGTGAGCCACCATGTGGGTGCTGGGAATTGAACTCAGGACCTCCGGAAGAGCAGTCTGTGCTCTAACCGCTGAGCCATCTCTCCAGCCCCCCCCCCCATATTTAGTTCTTTGATGGGGGATGAACCTAGGGCCGGGTGCATGCTGGGATGTGCTCTACTGCTGAGACACCACACCCCTGCTGAAGTGTCCAGTTGGTTTTGTGGTATTTTACTTCACGGGGTTGTTTGTAGGTTGTTCATGCTTGTGTGTGTGTGTGTGTGTGTGTGTGTGTGTGTGTGCGCGCGCGCGCACGCACGCACGCACGTTCACTTGCCGGTGCGCACATGCATGCAGGTGGTACCTCCCGTCAGGTCACTCTCGGGGTTGGCCCCACCGCACCAGGCTTTGACGTGCCTGTGACATGGGGAGGTCACCCCCTCAAGTACCTCGCCCGGTGCCGGCACCCCTGGGTCCCACTCTCATGGCTCCCCCATGCTGTCCCTAGACCCGACTTCTCCCCAGTGCTGGGGTGACGGACAGGCTTGAACCAGTGCAGCCCGTTTATGTGGTGCTGTGACTGGAACCCAGGGCTCCCTGAGTCCCAGGCAAGAGCAAGGCTGGTGCGCCAAGGCCTTTGTTTTGTTGTGATAGTTGTAGACACAATCTCACTCTGTAGCCCAGGCTGGCCTCGAACTCACAGAGACCCGCCTGCCTCTGCCTCCCGAGGGCTGGGACTAAAGGTGTATGCCACCACACTCAGTTCACTTTTCAGTTTTATAACTTAAAAAGTGGTGGTGGGGGGGCTGGAGAGATGGCTCAGCGGTTAGAGCACTGGCTGCTCTTCCAGAGGTCCTGAGTTCAATTCCCAGCACCCACATGGCAGCTCACAACCAATGCGTGTAAAATTAAGTTCAATTATTCTTTTAAAAAACTGTATGTGAAATGCCTGAGTTTATGTCTTTGCACTACACGCACATAGGAGCCCACAGAGGTCCAGTGGGGGTCCGGCGAGAGCACTGGATCCCCTGGAAATGGAAGTGCAAGCGGTTGTGAGCTGCTCCGTGGGTGCTGGAAACTGAACCCGACTTCTGCAAGAGCAGTGAGCAGCGAGCGGCCTCTCCAGCCCCTCACGGCCTGGGCTCGGCCTCAACCGGAGCTCAGCGTTCAGGCTAGGGCTGCTGACCGGATCCGCCGGGGTCCTGGGATTACGCGCACACGGCTGTCATGAGAATTTGGGTCTCCTCAGCCCCCCTCCCCCATCTCCTGGACTGAACCCTGACTCTTCAGAAGCTCTCCCGCCTCTCCCCTCCCCAGAACTTCCTTCTGTGCTCCATCAGCCCACCAGCCCCAGATTCAGAGACCCGGGGGCAGGCAGGGCAGAGGTGACCGGCTTGACTGTGGGCATCCCGACAGCCTCTGGCTGAGAGCACCTGCCAAAGCGGCTGGAAGTTTCTGCCCAGTGAAGGGCAAGGCCTGGAGCTGAGCCCAGGGAGGGGCTGGACATCGGGTGTTAGGGAAAAATCAGTACCTCTCCCCCAGGCAAGGTTTCCCTGTGCAGCCTTGGCTATTGTGGAACCCGCTCTGTAGCCCAGGCTGGCCTCGAACTCAGAGATCCGCCTGCCTCTGCCTCCCACATGCTGGGATTAAAGGCGTGCGCCGCCATCGCCTGGCTTCAACTTCTTTTTTTTTGGATGTGAGGATCAAACCCAGGGCCTCGCACTTGCTAGGCAAATGCTCTACCACTGAGCTAAATCCCCAACCCCTCGACTTCTTAATATTGTTTTTAAGATAGGCTGTCACTCAGTCCTGGCTGGCCTGGCACTTAAAGGTGTGAGTGACAAGACCCTGCCAGCTCCTGACCTTTTAATTAGTGAGGGTGGCTTCTGGGCAGGGGACCCAACACACCGGAGGAATGAGGACGCGCCTCAGGGTTGCAGGCTGTACTCGTGTCCATGATGATTATAAAAGTGACCAAAAGCCACACACACACACACACACACACACACACACACACACACACACGGAGCGGAGGAGCAGGGGCGGCCTGTGCTCACAGACCCCACACAACTGGCCTGAGGTTGCAATCAGCCATAGGCAGGGACCCAGGTCCATCTTGTTCAGCGGCGCTGGGGACAGGGTGGCCATGGCAAGGGACAGAGCCCGCGGACAGGGTTCTCTTCCTCCAGAGCCCGGGCACCGCGGGTGAGGGTGGGTCTCAATGACTGTGGGCAGTGGCTGGTGGGAAGCTACGCACCCCAAAAGCCCCATCCAGGGGATGATGTCTAGGTTTGGGGGTACACAATCCCCTCCACCTCCATCCCCAAGGGGGACAGGAGGCTTGACTTGGGGAAAGGAACCTCAGAGGCTGCCCAGGCACCATGCCAAGAGGTATCGGACCAGGGGATTGCGCTAGCAGGATGCCAAAATGCAGGGTCATCCAAGGGTTCCCCGGGTCATTAGATGCGCTCGGAGTGGGGGCCCTGGCTGAAGGAGGACGGCAGCAGCCGGGAGAGGACAGGCACGGGAGCGGGACGCCACCCTGGACTCGGAGAAAGGTTCCACGCCTGGGGGGGGGTGAGATGGGGCCGGGAAGCACTGGTACCCGAAACCAGAGGGTCCCCAGATGCACAAAGGTACAAGTCCCCGGCTCCTGGAGGGCAGAGACAAGCTGGGGCAGGCCAGGCCCGCAGGAAGGGCCATGGCTGCGCCTTTGGGATGAGAAGGAGTGAGAAAACACCCGGTGTCCGCGAGGCGATCCCTGCCAGGGGGTCCCCGTGGTCCCCAGGGGGAGGAGTTCTCCGCACTCGAAGGGCGGGGGCTGACTTGGGGCGACGGACGCGGGAGGGGACACCACACTTCTGCATGCAGATGAGAGTCCGTGTCTTAAGAGTGGGATGGCGAGGGGAAACAGCGTGACCGCGAGGGGATCCCCGACCGAGGTCCCGAGGGTCCCCGGGAGCGCACTGGGAGGCCGGGGACGGCCGGGGACCGGCGGGGGTGACGGGAAGGGCCTCTGCCGCGCACGCCCACCCCGCTCCCCGGTCCCCCCGGACGCGAAGACCAGGCCCGGAGGGCTCCCCGCTCCTCGGGCGACCCACCTGCGGCGCCTCCCGCACGTGTGAGCGCGCTGGGAGTGGGGGGGGAGGGGGGGGGGAGGGCGGGACACGTGACCGCCGGCCCGGCCCGCGCGTGCGCAGCGGCGGTGCCCATTGTTGGCCGCGGTGACGTCGCGGGGCGGGGCCGGGGCGGGGCGGCGGGAGGGCGGAGGGAGGGAGGGCACGAGCGTCCCGTGCCACCGCCGCCCTCGCCGCCGCCGCCGCAGCCGCCGCCGCCGCCGCCGCCGCCGCCTCGGCCGCCCAGGAGCCGCCGCCAGCCCCGCCACAGCGCCACCGCCCCGCAGCCCCGCGTCCCCGCAGCATCCCCGCGCCGCCGTCCCCGCCCCGCCGCTGGATGCCGGCGGCCGGCGGCCGAGCTCGCAGACGCGGAGGGCGGCGCGGGCGGCGGCGGCGGCGCGGGCCCGAGCGCTAAAGCCATGCCGGGCTCCAGCGGGCAGCCCGACGCGGGCGGCGCGGGAACCGGGACCACGGCCGGCGACCCCGGGCATCCGCGCCCTGTCCTCGCGGGAGCCGAGGATGCCGCGCCCCGGCCGCCACCCGAGCCCGACGACGCGGCCGCTGCGCTGCGCCTGGCGCTGGACCAGCTGTCCGCGCTCGGGCTGGGGGGCGCGCGCCCCGGAGATGAGGAGGGGACGGCGACGCGCGGCGCGGACGGGGCGGCGGAGCGCGGGGAGGACGGGCCCGCGCCCCCCGACGAGCTCGAGACGGCCGTGGCGCCCCCGGTGACTGGCGCGCCCTCGATGGGCGTGGGACCCTCGGTGATGACCGGTGCGCCCTCGATGGCCCTGGCACCCTCGGTGATGACCGGTGCACCCTCGATGGCCCTGGCACCGTCGGTGACCGGTGCACCCTCGATGGCCCTGGCACCGTCGGTGACCAGTGCACCCTCGATGGCCGTGGGACCCTCGGTGACCTGTGCGCCCTGCATGGCCGTGGCAGCCTCGGTGACCGTGGCACCTTCGATGGCCCTGACACCCTCGGTGACCGTGGCACCCTCAGTGACCGTGGGACACTCGGTGACCCTGGCACCCGCGATGGCCGTGCCTTCCTCGGTCGCCCCCGGCGGGCTGCCTCTTCTGGACCCCGACGTGAGCCCCCGGCCGTCTCCCCCAGACGTGTTCGCCAGCTTCGCCCCGCACCCGGCCGCCCTGGGTCCCTCGACGCTGCTGGCCGAGCAGCTGAACGTGATCGGCAGTCGCAAGAAGAGCGTGAACATGACCGAGTGTGTGCCGGTGCCCAGCTCGGAGCATGTCGCGGAGATCGTGGGTCGTCAGGGTGAGTGGCTGCCGTCGGGGGGGCTGCAGGGCCACTGCTTACACTCGTGGGCCGATGTCAGGGGGGTGTGTTTGGGGGGGGGAAGGAACAAGCCCCGGCTCCTGCTGACCCTGTGTGGATGGGACCAGGAGACCCCGGGACACGCCCCGCGTGGGCTCTGGGCCCCGGCGGATTCCTTGGCGCCTTTGTTCAAAGCTGCCGGCTGCCGTAGAAGTTGGGCGCAGCCCAGGCTGTGGCCACTGCCGCCGCCTTTGTCTGGGTTCCTGGGGACAACCACAGCCCATGGGCCAGTAGCCGGGGACCCCCGAAGACACAGACAGGCCCCTCAGAAGCGGCAGCCGGGGCTCAGCGGGGGGTGCTCCCCATCACCACCATAGGCGCGGGGCGGGGCCGGCCCAGATTCGGTAGCCCGGGGAGGGAAGTGTAGTAGCTTAGGAGGTGCCTCCCTCAGCCCCTCGGGGTGCACGCGAGGGTGCTGTCGCCTGAGAAAAGGACTCTAGCCCTAGGCCATGCCCTGAGCTTGAGAACCTGGGATTTATAGGAGGACCCTCCCGGTTGCGGCGCGCCAGCGGGGCGCACCCCCCCCCCAGCCCAGCCCGTCTTGACATGCTGACCCCGGGCGGGCCTAGGGTGCAGGGCTCCAAGCCGCCCGGGGTCCGGGGGTCCCTGCCGCAGCGCCGTGGAGCTGGGGAGCGTGTCTGTCGCCCTCCCCATTGTTCTCTTTGTTCGAAAGCCAGGCTGAGATTCGCACGGTGACATCAGGCCAGCCGCTGCTCATTGGCCCTTGAGCTGCCGGGGCGGGCAGGAGGGTGGTGGGCAGTGCCTGGCCGTGCTCACACCCCCACAGGGCTGGGTAGCAGTGGTCCCCAACTTTCCCCTGCCTTCCGCACCCACAGGTGCCTGCCCCGGGCACCCCCTCCCGGGGAGGGGCGACCCGCCTCGTTGTGAGAACTCTAGGGCGGGGCTCGGGCACCCCCGGACCCTCCTCCTCCGCGTAACCCCTGGAGGAAGCTGGTGGTTTGGACTGCAGGGTCGGCCGTCACCCTCCAGCGGGCGGGGACACCTCAGGGCCACCTCCCCCGGCCCCAGGTGGGTGGGGGCAGAGCCCGTGTCTCCGGACTCTTTGTCCGTGGACCTGTTCCACGCCTGCTGGGAATGAATGGACCGTGCCGGGCCCAGGGGCGCATGGCCAGGGCGAGCCACGGAGTGAGGCCGCCGCCTCTTTGTGTGGGCAGCCTCTGCCCCCCGGGCCGGCTTCCCACGGTCTCCCCTCTAACTACAGGGACCAGTTCACCAGATCTGTTCAGAGTCTGTGTGGACGAGCGCGGAAGCCACGGCCTGTGGTCTTTTGTCCCAGACCCGGCTGCCGCCTCCTCCCGGAGGGGGGAACGTACAGCCCAGCACTGTGGTGGTGGAGACTCAGATCCAGGGGCGCCGGGCTCAGTCCACACCTGCGGTGTGACGGGGACCCAGGTTTTGGGTTGTCACTGGTGGCCCGCAGCAAGGCTGGCCCTGAGTTCACTTCCTGCTGGGGTGCCCCCCGCCACGCGCGTCCGCGCGCACACACACACACACACATGCGCACACACACGCGCACACACACACGCGCGCGCACACACACACACACACACACACACACGAAGCAGATGCTCTCCGGTCCTGGTTCCGTGGGATGCACGGGTGTGTGCTGTGTAAATGGGCTCCGGCGCCCAGGGAGGGCACCCCGAACGTGGAGACGTGACGCCAGCCTCGCTCCCACCTAAAGCAGCCCGAGAGGAAAAGGTTTATTTTACCCTTCCAGCCGCAGCCCGCCCCTGAGAGAAGTCAGGGCAGGACCTGGCGCAGAGGCCATGGGGTGCCCCCGACTGGCCTGCCCCCCATGGCTCGCTCGGCCTGCTTTCTTAGAGCACCCAGGACCAGCACCCTAAGGGTGGCCCCGCCCACCGTGGGCTGGGCCCTCCCCGTCAATCATTAATCACGAAAATCGTACCCCCGGCCAGCCTGGTGGACGGTTGTCGGGGAGTCCCGCTTCCCGGGTGTGCCCAGCTCTGGGTCCAGTCCCTTGACCTGCCCGCCCGTCCCTGTGCTCACCCACCCCGTCCTCCCCCAGGCCGCTTCCCTGAAATGCTCGTGTCCACCCTCTCCCTGGGGCCCGAAAGATGTTCCCGGACATGGCTTCCGCACCTGACCAGAGCAACAGGGAACCCAGGCCCCCTTGACCCCTGGCGTCATGCTGCCCCGAGCCTCAGTCTTTGCAGATGTAGATAGAATGGGTTGGAGGGTATTTTGGGCCACGCCCCCAGCCCCTCTCTGGGGGATTCTAGGCCGGGCTCCACCCTGGCCACGCCCCCAGCCCCTCACGGGGGACTCTAGGCGGGGCTCCACCCTGACCACGCCCCCAGCCCCTCACTGGGGGATTCTAGGCGGGGCTCCACCCTGACCACGCCCCCAGCCCCTCACTGGGGATTCTGGGCGGGGCTCCATCCTGACCACGCCCCCAGCCCCTCACTGGAGGTTCTAGGCGGGGCTCCACCCTGACCACGCCCCCAGCCCCCTCACTGGGGGATTCTGGGCGGGGCTCCATCCTGACCACGCCCCCAGCCCCTCACTGGGGATTCTGGGCGGGGCTCCATCCTGACCACGCCCCCAGCCCCTCACTGGGGGACTCTGGGCGGGGCTCCACCCTGACCACGCCCCCAGCCCTTCACTGGGGGATTCTAGGCGGGGCTCCATCCTGACCACGCCCCCAGACCCACACTGGAGGATTCTGGGCGGGGCTCCGCCCCTTGCCACGCCCCCAGGCCAGTGTCCACCGCTGACCTGCAGCCCCAGCTCTGTTTTTGTTGGTAGCCCAGGCTGACCTCCCTGGGGCAGTGAGAGCTGAGGTGATGGGTGTGTGCCAGTGTGTCCAGCTCCTTGCAGCCTCTTGGTCCTCAGGGCCATACCCAAGGCTGCCGCCTGGGCCAAGGCATGTGGGCACAGCCAAGGGGCAGCTGCTGGCTGCAGCGCGGGGGTCCTTTCCTCGCTCCTCCCCTCCGGGTTCACATGCCTGCCCCTAACTGCACCGGCTCCCGCTGAGTCCCAGCTCTGCATCAGTCCCCCCAGGCCCTTGTCCTGTAAGCCCCGTGTAAGAGCTGAAGGGTGGACAGAGACCCCATCTGTGGGGCTTCCTTCCTGGCTTCCTGTGCCTAGGGGTAGAAGAAGCCCGGGCAGCCAGATGAGGGGCAGCCTGGGGAACTTTGAGGGTGTCAGAACTTTGGGTACCAGCTGCTCCTTTTTCTTTTTTTTTTTTTTTTGTTTTGGTTTTCCAGACAGGGTTTCTCTGTGTAGTTTTGGTGCCTGTCCTGGATCTCGCTGTATAGACCAGGCTGGCCTCAAACTCGCAGAGATCCGCCTGCCTCTGCCTCCCCAGTGCTGGGATTAAAGTCGTGCGCCACCACCGCCGGGGGGGGGGGGTGTACCATCTTCTTATTGGGGTCCCATGGCAGAAGACACATAGCCAGGTAGGGGGCAGGCCCTCAACCCCGGCCCAGGAGATGGCAGGAAACTGGCCTCACTTGGGCTGTGACAGAGGTGTGACTTCCATAGTTGGAGCACCGCTGAGTCCCGGAGGCCCCGGTTCTGGTGGGCATGGCGCCCGCCTGCCCGGGCCTGCTCGGCGTCACATCTGCTGGTCCCGCTGCTCTCCTGTCTGGCTGGGGACGGGAGCATCACTGAGGCCCTCTGCGCTCCGGGTAGTGCTGACAGCGTGCTCCCGCCCCGCCTCCCAGGCGCCCCCGCCCCCGGGAGAGCCCCCAGGGCTGGAGGGTTTCTGGGATTGGAAAGGCCCCCCCACCTGAGCGCTCTGGAGTGTCCCAGAGTTATGGCCCAGGGTCCTGGGTGGCAGACCTGCCGGCCTGGCAGGGGAGGGAGAGGAGCATGGCAGGCGTCCCGTCCCCTGCGCCTCAGCTCCCGCCCCACACACCGCTGTCAGGGGGTCGAGGACCGGATGGGGCTGTCATGTTCGCCCACGCTGGCCTCGAACTCACTGTAGCTGAGCGTGACCTTAGACTCCTGTCCTCCTGCCTCGCGTCACCAATGCTGGAGGGGAGACTGGGTGTCACCAGGTAGCCTGAGCTGGCCTTGAACTCGCGACTGTCCTCC